TTCTACATATTTTTAAGCGAGAATAATGGTCAAGTATCATTTTATGATACTATTCTTGTAATTTATATATGGAAAGGTAATCCTAGTTTATGGTATAAATCATTTCGGGATCATTTGATATCACATTAGTCTCTATGAAGAGAATCTACAATGCCTATTTCCTTGCAAAGTACATTAGCTTGGAAGCTCATCTTTGACTTCTCGTATGCATATTTATATATATTTCTAAGCGAGAGCAATGGCCAAGTGTCATGTTATGATGTTATTCTTGTATTTTGCATGCCGAAAATAGATAGATACCTATGTAGCCTATGTTATAATAAATTGCTTATAATCTCAACTCCAGTGGATATCGAGCTAGGAAGCCGCAGATCTTTTGATTTCCCACGCGATATTTCCATTATCGTATCTATAAAGAGACTTGTAATAAAGACTTTACTATCTCCATCATACGAGTACACATTTTTAAATCATCAGCGGAAACAACTATAGGATAAAGAGGATAACACTGTACTTGAAATCGGAAGTCGCATAAGCCGTGAATATGTGTTACTTTAATAGAGTCTAAATTCAGTATTCTTGTTAAAATTTTTATTCACTTGCCGATTAATCTGTTATGACTACTCGCTTAATAAGCGGCATACAAGCATTGCAAACTCTAGTGTCTAGTTTATGGTTCACATCTTGCATGTGATGACATAAACCAAAGCCATCAAATTGGTAAGATTTAAAGTAATAATATTTCAGATATTGGCCCACTTTGACGTTTGCTACCAACTGTTATACAGTACTGTAGGATAGTTCGCATTTAGGAACTTCCAAGAAAAGTTATTGAAAGTCTCTGGCACACTAGGTAGATCTCGTATGTATGCATGTATTCGCAGACGTCTAGACATTTACCATTTCAGCCGTTGAAGTTGTAATGGCCTCTGATCAAGAATGATGAAATTTTGGCGGTATTCGTGTCTAATGACTCTATCATGGACTATTCGAAATATACCCCGTAGTATATTTCTAGAAGTCCATGGCTCTACTATGTTGATATACTGTATAAATTGCTTTTTTCTTTGTTGATTACAACGAGAGAAAAGTATCAGTGTACATATTGGCAGCTTAATTTGCTGTACTACCTTTTTTATTGGTGCATTTTATACCGCCTTGATGCTTGTCAAAATTGAAAAAAATTACTAATAAAGATTTCTGCTTTGTAACCAATCATGACCCTATTGTCTCATTTTTATAAGGAAAGGACAGAGTAAGAACAACGCTAAAAATGGCTTTTATGTCCTGTCGAAATGAACGAAATACTTAGGAAATGATTATTCTTCAGCAGCACGCCAACAAAGAAAGTGACAAACCCAAGTGTTGTTGTCCTCTCATTTTAGCTAGCGTAGAAAATTAAAAATTTCATACGAGTAATGGAGAGATCACATCACTTTACAGTATAGTAGAACGTAGTACAGTATGAATTTTCCGCGTAGAAAAACGCTGTCAATTCAATCTGCTACCATTGTAGCTTTAAACAAATAAACAAACTTTGGATCAAATAAACGTTGTCTACAACTAATGCCACTACTGTACAACTGCGGTCTTTTCGGAGTCTATAGTAACAACAACAAAAGACTGCCGCACTTTTTTCTTCTTCCAGATTTTTAACTATTGTTTTGTCAAAGTAAAAAAGATCGGTCTTAGCATGAATGGACCAAGACAGTTAATAAAACCTTATCCGAGTTTTCCGCCAATGGATATGCGGAACTCGATATCATGAATTGCTATTAGTTACAGACGAAAGCTTATTTCTATTTGTACATGGATACTAGGGACTTCTGAGACAAATACTATTTATATTGAAGTCTTGTTGGATGGATGCTATGATCATAATATCCTCCCTATTCATTTGATGCCTGACAAAGGATTGATTTATATTTGTACCGTGGTATTATCCGTCGATAGTCTATTTGCTAGACGATGTGGTTAAATTCTCCGCGTTATATTCCTCTGTCGTGTAAAGCTGTAAAGTATAGGGAAAGAGGTTCAATAGTAAATGTGGAGATTCCTGATGATAAATACTGTAGTAAGTGGGGGCACCATTCCGCCAGATAGGCCTAGCAGTGTCAAAGTAGTCAATGCTTTCTAGAAAAGCCTTTTTTTCATTCTATCTCAACTGAGACAATGATTTGGTGAGAATTAGATTGAAGATAAGATAGAATAGTTTTAAGATATTACTATTTCACTCAATAATCTAGCATATCTTGTACTTGCCAGTAGGCATCAACTACTTTTGCATTTGGCAATATTGTCATAAGTAGTATATTTTCTTCCGATGCAATCGTACATTTGCCAGCGTTAACAGTTGCATGGCGTAGAACTAATTTTAGCTTGTGAAGAAATACACATATCGGTAGAATTTGTAACTCTAGTTATCAATTTGCCCATTAAGATTTCTCAACTTGGAACAGTACTCTTTCTATATCTATATGCTGCCAGTATTGGTACTGAGTACTATTCTAATTCTATAGGTGTTTTAATAGTATCTTTAGGCTGAATTCGTACTTAAGAATGGCTAGATCATGCATATACGAAAGTTCACAATATAAGTGTACATTATTAAATAATTCTTTTGATAAGTGATACGTATATGCTACTGAGATTGAAATAATTACATATTACATAATTGTATAGATGGTTATAGGATACCGTAGAGAGTCTTGTGCATGAAACTCCTTAGGAATGACCAGAACATATACATATGTTCAACTAATATATACGTACATATATTATCGATCTCATTTATAAGTAGAGATGTTGATACATGCTGTAGATATTAATTTAATTATAAATTATGTAATTGCATGTACGGGTATAGGATACCGTAGAGAGCATTGTGTATGAATCGGTTTTTAGGAATGACCAGAACATGCATGCTAGTTCAATTAATATACTGTACATGTGTATATTATCGATCTCATTGATAGGTAAACACATACTGTAGATTGTAGATATTGAATTAATTATATATACTCATAGGATACCATGGAGAGCATTGAGCATGAATCCGTTCATAGCAATGGCTAGAACATGTATGTATGATCAGCTAATGTACCGGTATATATTATCGATCTCATTGATAAATAGATACGTGCTGTAGATATTAATAATAAATTATATAATTATATATATATAGGATACCATGGAGAACATTGACCATGAATATATTCTTAGAAATGATCAGAATATGCTTGCGAAGTATGTTCAATTAATATATTGTACATGTATACATTATCCAACTCATTTATAAGTAGATACATGCTGCAGATCCTGGATTATTGATTGCTGTTGCTAGACTCTCGGATGCTGCGGAGAGCATTGAGCATGAGGCAGCCTTTAGATCTATTTTAATTATAGCACAATATCTATAAAAATGTCTCTTACCGCAGAATACTACATTATTTCTATTTACTGGAACAAATGAACAAAGAAAAATAGAAGAGAACTGAAATAATCATGGATTCTAAAAGTATTGAGTAATCCTGGATATCATTAGATCTAACTACCTAGTAAATTTCAGCGATAGCCGAATAAATTTAGCAGTAGCCAATGCGAAAGCATCATTGTTATACCTATGTTCTTTATAAATTACTAGCGGCAATGAACTGAATAAACTACTCTAAATATGAACCGCTGTAATCAGTATATCTCAGCGGTGATGTGCTTAATCGACTATATCGGATTCGTTCTCTGGCTATTAACTTTACTTAGCAGTCTATTATAATGTAGAATTAGAACGGAAAAAAATAGAAATTGATTATAATTTGCTTAGTTTATAGGTACTTGCTCATTTAGACTATTTGAGTATACTAGTAAAGTAGTGAGTACAGTAGATGAGTAATTTCCGTAGACACCTGTTCTATGGTCTACTCAATCTCAATCTTTCCTATACTGGTACGTAAAATACAAGTATTTCTTTTCTAACTGTAAACTCGAAAGCCTTTCCTACTGACAACAGTTTAATTATCGTCCTAAATCATCTACAGTATATTGTAGCGTATTGCATGGAAACCAATAATCAATAGTAGGATCAAGAGATAAATAGATAGATGGATAGATACACTTTACTGAATATGTTGAAAATTTATTTTATTGATATTAGAATTTCCAGTAACTTTAATTTTAACCTCAATACTTTTACCAGCTAATTCTATACAGAAATGTGACAGATTGCCACAATTGGTCAAAATGTGCATGTTGCTCTAATGAATAAAGCACTTACATAGGATATCAAATAAGTAAGAATATGTAAAATCTACTGATATGGACTTGGCCATACTCAATAAGTTGGAAACCCAGATAAAAAGTATTAACTAAGCTGTGAAATAATTTTCAAACAATAAATTTCCTACTTCAGTTTCTTGGAAACCTTCGTTTGTAAAAACAGGGCGACTGTTTTACCATTAGTAGAATAAACGTTGGTGCTTCACAACAAAAAAATGAACAAAGTTCCAAACAAAAATACATGTTTTGCTAATCGTCTATAATATATTTTTTTGGGAAAATAGAATAGCATCAATAAGGGCATCACAAAAAATGCCTACAAATGATTACAAGCCGCCTAATGGCAACTTGTTCGTTGCCTTTCATATCAGTAATTATGGATAAAAAAAGTGACAGGAATGCGTCGTAAAAAAAAGATACTAAAATGATTTATTATTCGTCTTTTCCTATGCAACATGCATAGCAGTGTCAATTTCTAGTAAGTTTTCAAAAATTAGGCTAACCTACTTGATACCATATCAACTTTTTCACTAGGAGTACAAAATCAGATCTTTTAAAAGAATTAAAGGCTATCCGTTTTATCTAAACTTCAATCGTACCTACTTGCATTGGCTAATCTACTTTTTCCTAATAATACTGCATATCACATCGATAGCATAATTAATTACTACTAAAATAGGCTAAACTACATTAATCAAAAATTTAAATTTGATGCGGCGATAGAATTTTTAGGATGCTTGCTCGCATTGCTTTTGTTTCTTCCTGATATCTTGCTCACATTGTGTCAAATTATTCAATACCTCTCGCTTTTGCATGCTCACAGTGCTGTATTGCTGTTTGGCTCGTTGTAAGTTATTGCTAGAATCATCTTCATCGCTGCTCTGCTCTAAGTTCTTAATTGCTGCAGCTAACTCTGATTCAGCTTTCAGTAATTGGACTAATTCGGCATTGTATTGATCAGATTTTCCCCGTAAATGAGTTATTTGCGAATTCATGATATCTTTCACGCTTTTATATCCACCGCGAAGTATACCAGCTTGCACTTTAGGCCTAAACATTATATGTAAGTAACAATAAGATTAAAAATGATTTATTACTTTTTTAACTAACGCTTTAATAAACATTTGCTAAAAATGAAATGATGCTAAGAAAACTTTTCGACAATAAACTTACGTTGGCTGAAGGGATGCTTTCTTTTCTCCTCGTAAGGTGGCCAATTTAGTTTCGATAGTATCCTCTTGATCGTATTTGCTTTCTTTCTGGGCTTTTTGTGCTAACAAATAGTTACGCAATTCTACGGTATCCATATACTTTTGGAATCGAGCCATATGTCGTTCAAGTCCCTGTTAAGAGTTTCAGAAAGTTTTAGAATTATATTCTTACTTAATTATAATCAGTAAATGATGTCTGTACGAGTATAGATCGACTGTTATTAATGTAATATCATTTATTCATCATTTTAATAACTAAGATAGAGGAGTATTTTTATACAGTATTTTCGACATATGTGAATGTATAGCAATACTTACTTCATTGAGATCAAGTTCGTTCGGTCCAGCTACTTTAGTCTCAACTAATTCTTCAAAAATATTAATCTGTTGCTTATTGGTCTTGGCATGTCTAAAGATAGCTTGCAATGGTTCGGTATCAGTTGATTTCACTAATTTGCTTGAGATATCGCTCTTCTTTGATCTTGAAAAGAAGAAATCTTGACAACAAACCTTCATAGCCTATTTAATAATAAACGCAAGGAATTATTTTCATAGTACAAGTTGACTAACGCGTATTATTGCTCTATCGTAAATTTTGTAGCCTTCCTGTAATAAATTATCTAGCTCAATCAACGACTTTATTAATAAGAATCGATAGAAAAATAACAGTTAATCATTCTATTGACAGTAATGCCATCAATGATCTTTCTACTTTTCTAACCTTATAAAATTCTCGTAAGAAATCTGGATTGCCGTCATTAGCTAAATCTCCAACTTTGACATGAGCTAAAGCATGCATGATAACAACGATAAAATCGCCGACTGATTCCAATCTCTCATTCCTTATAAATAAGATGTTGCGCTTCCTATCGTAATGGTAAGAATTACGGAAGGCGTTACGATCATATTTGTGCGAAGGTAAGTTGGACGCAACCAACATAGTAACTTCAGGGAATTTAGCGCATTGTCTCAACATTTTAACTACGAACAAGCCAAATCGATAAATAACAAAGTGGCTTGGACTTAAGTGATTGATATCAACCGGGATTAAATCTCCTTTACAAATCCATTGAGCATCTTTAGAATCGATATAACTACCACTTGAGCCTGCACCCAATATTTTGTTATCTGGTCCGAAAGTACCACCATTGCTTAGCATATTCTCAATTTGGCAGATCTGTTGGAAGACTGGGGATGCCGTCAGTAAAGCCATCCAGTCCCTTTCAGTATAGTTGTAAACATCGTTAGGTCTAATTAATCCAGCAGCTGCTGCTGTTGGTACATGACTATCGGCAGTAACGATGCCATCCGGCTGGACAACTTCAGCTAAGTCAACAGTTTGTGGTTCATGAATTGGAGCATTGGGAGTTTCAAGTTTGCTAGCAGTGGTTTCTAGTTTCTGAATATTGTCTTGTTGTATTGCTCGAATTTGTGCTCGTTCCTCTTCTTCAGTTGCTTCCTCATCATCTTCGGTGATTTTTTCCAATTGATTAACGGCTGCTTGATACTTTTTCTTACGACGCTCTTCCAATTTTCTTTTCAAGGCACCTCGGCTCTTTTCTCTTTCGCGTTGCTGTGCAATTTCCAATTCTGCAAGATCTCTCTGATGCTGTTCGATGAGTTTCTGTTTTTCATCTTCATTCAAGTCCTCCTTTTCTATCTTCGATTTCATTAGTTCATCTTTCTTTTTACGTTGCTCTTCATGAACCTTCTCTCTCTCCGCTATCTGCTCTTCTAGATATTGTTCATCTTTGCTTTGTTCAAGTTGCAATTCATCTTGTAGTGCTTCCAATTGTTGAGCCAATTCAGCTCGCTGTTTCTCTTGTGCTTTCCTTTTTTCAGCCTTAATCTTCTCTAATTTTGCTTCCATTTCTTTCATAATTTTTTCTCGATCCTGTTGCGCAGTACGAGTAGCTTCATTGGTCCTATCAGTATACTCGGCAATTAATTCTCGCTGGCCAGCTAATTCTTGCATCGAACTCGATAATTCAGCTAGTTGCTTCGTTTTCAAGGCCAATCTAGCATTAGCATGTTGAATTTGCAAGTTAAACATTACATCTTTGGCTGCCTCTTGCATTTTAGTCGCAGCATCCTTATCGAACTCAGCTAACTGAGTCTGTTGCTTCCCTTCTAGAGCACGTTGACGTGATTTCAACTCTAGTGGACTTATTCCATCTGAGTGAGCCAATAATTCTGCTAATTGATGTTCATGTTGTTCAACTAATTTGTCACGATTATCTTGACATTTAGTCGCAACGTTATTCTGAGCTTCTGCTAAAGCAGTCGCTAGTTCTTTCTTGAGTTGTTCTTCATGTTGTAATGTTTCTTTAGCATGACGCTGTTGCATAACATGATAGATTAAGTTTTCAGCACGCTTACTTTCATTCTCGTTATCGCTATTTTTAAGTTCTTTAATTGTCTCAGCCAATGCTGCATCCTCCTTTTTCGCTTCTCGTTCGGCATTTAATCGGTCAGCTTCAGCTTGCTGTTGTAGTAGTTTCTTTTGCATTTCAATTTCCTGTTTCCTTGCAAGTTGTTGTTGTTTACGTCGACGGCGTTCTTCCAATTTGCTATTCAATTGATCACGATGTTTAGCAATTTCTATCTCTTGATTTTGTTGCATACTTTCCAATTCTTTCTCATGGTCATCAAGCATTTTTTGGAATTCTTCTGCGCTTAATTTCTCCTTAGCTTCGGCTGCTTTCTTCTGGAATTCGACATCTTCTTCTTCTAATTTAGCTGCCATTCCTTCTACAATTTCTTCTAATGCCTTATTTTGTTCCTCTTGCGCTTGACGTTCAATTTCAGCCATTTCTTCTCGGTGTTCCAATCGCAATTTAATTTGATCTTCTAAATGCTTTTCTTTCAATTCTGCCTCAATTTCTATAACTTTCTTATCAGGTTTAACAGCAGTAATTTTCTTGACAGCTGTTGCAGTTTCAACATTATTAAGCTCAATCATTGCTCGAGTTGATAGCTCAGTCTGCTTCTTAACTGCTTCGGCGGTCAATTCACATTCTTTCTGTTTCTTGATCGATTCATTCTTGGCCTCAATCAATTCCATGTGTCCATTTGCTTCGTCAACTTGTTGCTGTTTCTTTGTTGCTAATTCTGACATAATATCTTCGACAATCAAAGCTTTGTCATCATCTACAACATCATTGAAGCTTGGATCTTGTAGTACTTGCTGAGCTACTTTTTCGTAATTTTCAGTTTGACCTTCGTATTCAACTTCAGCTACAACTTGCATTAATGCCGCTTCTTCATAAAGACGATCAGCGTCTTCTTGCAAGTTGGAAATTTGTTTTATTTTTTCTACTTCTTCATTATTACCCTCTAATAATTTTTCATCATCTATGTCAATAGTTCCCTTTTGTCGATTTTTCCTTCTATCTTTGCGATTTTGCATGCGATCTCGCATATTCTTGTTACGATTATTGGCAGCTATTGTATAATCGGTAGCATTCTTTAATGCTCCATCAATATCACCACTGCGTGAACCATTTAATGCTCTCATACGTGCTTCCATTTCTTCATCTAATTTTCTCCTATTCTCTGCACTATTTGCTTCCATGTCTGCAGCTAATTCTTCAGCATATGCTCGTCTTAATTCGGCAAGTAATTCTTCTTGTTGTTTAGCTAACGAGAGTAAATCATGATCAGCTTCTGACTCACTTGGTATTTCGGTTTCAATGCCATCGACGCCTGCTATTATAGCTTCGTTGCGATGACGCTGTTGTAGTTCCTTCTTACGGCGTATTCTTATATCGCTAAGTTCTTTACGTATTTTCTTGAGTCGTTCTTGCTTTTCTTTTTCATGTGCATTATTGATCTTTTCAATCTTTTTAGCATGTTCCTCAATGATCTGTTGACGCTCTTCATCTGTTGAAGCACTCTTAAGTGCATCACGCAATTCTTCCTTAATTTTAGCGATAGCTTCCTCTTTCTTCTTGTTACATTCGCTAAGAACTTGATTAATAACGAATATTTCATTAGCACGTAAATTTTCTTCAAGCTCAGCGCTTTCTTGAAGATGTTTCTCGTGTAGTTTTTGCTTCGTTTCTTTCTTATTTAAATTACTAGGTGCAGCTTGACTGACTGCTGAGATACTACTTAAGCCTACAACTCCATTGCCTTTAACTACTGTAGCACCAATTGCAGCACCGCTGTGAGAAACTGCCGCGACATTTGTCTGTTGATTATAAGCAGGAACAGTTGATATAGTGCCTACTTGCTGTTGGCCTGTTGGTTGTCCTATTATCGGTAATAGGGTAGTATTTAATGTGACGTTCTGGCCAGCTGGAGAGAATCCTGTTATTGGTGATGCAGCATGCATATTTTGTATAGTTAGTGTTCCACCTTGTGACTGCGGTATTTGTTGCATACCATCAGAGACAATATTATTAGTTGTTACATACTGCTTAATTCCATTCTCTTCAATTAATTTAATGAGATGTTCAAGTAACGGTATTATTTCTCTGTTAGACGATGGTGAGCTAACGTTGTCGCCATATGCACCCGAGATGCTTGCGTCATAATCACCAGCTAAAATGCATGCTCCTGACAGTAAAGTTTTCGCTTCGGCGGCGCATAAATCAGCCTTTGCACGAGTATATTCCAATGCAGCTATATTTTCATCCAATTGGTGTGATCTCATTAATAGCTGCTCTTGTAGTTCAATCTGTAATCTATACTGTACTTGTTTAAAGCGTTGAGTGACAGTCGCTTCGGCGTCCGGATTCATAGCACCTTTTAATTCTGCCATTCTTTCTTTATATTTGCTCTCTTCTTCTTGCATTTTCTTAAAGAATCGGTTCACGGTATCAGCAAATTTGTCATGTGAATTGTGATGATATTCTTCTCTATCACGTTCAATACTATCTTCTTGCGTTAAGATAGCAACAACTTCTGGTGGCAGATAAGTCCAATCCTGAGCCGCATCTCCGCGTCTTTGTACCTCTCGTTTTGCAGCATCAGTTAATGATTCTACTGCTGTTTGTATATCTTCTAGCGTATCCTCGACTTTACTAATTCCGATATTCGCTTTTGAATCAATTAATTGCGAGCATAACAGAAATTCTGTAGCTGTAATATCATTTTCCTTTTGACGTTGGCGTCTCCAGAAACTGCGTCTAGCAACACCATAGTTGTACCGACAAGCAAGGGCAATAATTGTCCGGTGGTTGTGTGTTCATAATGTCCAGGGCTACCTCCATTCTGAGCTAAGGCAGTTGATCTTTCTAATCGTCTTGTTAAATCATGACCAGCGCGTAGTAAATGGCCATTATTCTTTTCAGTGATACGATGAAGTTCTTTTACGGCTGTCTCTAGCATACTCCTTTCGTGGTGTCCATTTGGTATATCACTATCTGTATCGGAGGGTTTGACTAAAAGGACTTCTTTAAGGCTTTGCAAACAATCTAACAACTTTCGTTCGCATGCTAACTCACTTGAATCTAGTAATGATTGATAGCCACCGCCACTTGGCAATACACTTCCTGTCTGCTGTGATAATTTAGCACCGGTTACTTTGACCGTTAGACCTGATAATGGTTCGATGTATTTGTCGCCTGGTACTAATGGAATATCTTCACTTGCTCCGGGTATAGTTCCTCCTAATGGTTTCACTTCTCCAGTTATATCATCAATTCGAAGACCTAATATTGCTACCGGTTTCTTCGATGAATTATCAATCATCATAGAACCAATCTCGATTGGAATAGGTAATCTTGTAACTGGATCAATTTGCGATCCAGCAACTGGATAGACTGTTTCTGTTGTCGGATGAATAGTAATACCAACAATTGGTACTGGCAGTCCAGTATTTGGATCAGGCATAGAGCCGATACACCATATCACTTCTACGTTCGAGTGTATGCAATTTAGTATCGACTGGTTCATTAGTTGATGGATCAATTGGATATGGGACATATGGAATTAATTGTTCCGTCAGTGCCGACGCATCACCCGAGGAATTATCTGCTGTATAGATTAGACGAGATGATATCGGATCGTAAGCAACATTTCCTTCAATTGGTAGAGCACGACCAGTTTGTGGATGTATGAAGAAGTTCTTTGGTACTGGTACAATTCCACCATCAAATAATTGCATTTGTGTTCCCTCGTTTGCCATAATTAAGCCAGTAGTCGGATCCTGCATGATTAAATCTGGTGCACGTACAGTTCCATCTACACCAAATAAGTAATCACGCGGAAGTGTTTCGTTAGTTTCTGGTGAAACAAGAAGTGCTCCAGTTCCTTGATCTATTAATGACCATACACCTCGGCGTTCACATTCTTTCTCATGAACATTTTTCAATCGTGCATAGATTTCCTCAACGCGACTTCCTACTTTGTGTTGCAGCTGTTCATCGTATTGATTATCATCTGATCCACTAGTTCTGTTATCGATTAGATCATTGAGTAAACGATTAATTTCTCTGAAAGATGCTTCAAATGAGATTTCATGCTGCTCGCGTTCTCTTAAATCGTCTTCAAATAATTCATTCTGTCGTTCCAAAACACCTTTAAATCGTATACCTAGCTCTCGACGACGTTCTAGTTCATCCTCAAGTTCATTCTTTTTCGCGTCATACTTGCGCATATCATCTTCAGTTGCTAAAGCAGATTTACCTTTTAGATTCAATTTAGCTACCCATAAACCTTTCAATGATTCAGCTTGAGCTCGAACTTTTTGGTATAACGATTTAGCTTCATCTTTTTGTTTTCCAATTGCAGCTGTCAATTCACGTGATTGACGAGATAAATACTCGTACAATGTATTAGTGCTGAATCCTTCCAGATCAACTTGTTTATCGTAATCCCAGAATTCGTCTCCTTTAACTTCTGCAACAATATCGTCTTCCTCCATAACTACTGGAGCTGGTGGTATTTCTTCTTCAGGGATAGCACCTTCCAATTCTGAAGCTTCTAGATTACGGTGATACTTTTTAACAGGATGAACAGTTGATCCTTTAGATGAGTAATCATCAAAGTTATACTTCAGAGTAATAGCTCGATATCGTGGATGGTCAAACATTTGTTTTGCCCAACCGTGCTTTCTGAAGACCAGTAATAAAACAGCCAACAAAAACATTAATCCAAGTGTAACACCTAACATTGTGAAAATCATAATCCAATCAGGACGTAGTAAAAGTCCCGATGATATTGAGAATCCGTTCTGCACTAATATTCTCTCTGTATTAGGGAAGAATGGTCCAACATCGCTACATTCAGCACCTTGGTCCATAACACTAACATACATTTTACGCTCAGCGTTGTTGCTTGCTTTGAAAACATATCTTCCTGGAGTATTAAATTGATAAGCAAAGAGTGATGAATTGGTTGTTGTCAGTAATTTTTTGTCTCTTAAATCGCGGAATCCACCATAATCGAATGCAGCGTTACTATTCAATAAATTGGTGCGATCATATTCTGGATACGACTCATTGGAGACAATAAATAATAGTGATTCGCCAAGTTGTAAACAAACTATAGGATTTCTAATCGTTCTAGAGCTACCTGCAATCACATTAGCGCTGACAGCTAACAATCTCCTAGCAGTAGAAGATTGAGCGACAGATGCATTGAGTAAGTTTGAAATTGCGGCAGTATTTGGCTGATAGACTCCAGTAAATCCACTTAATTGCATCTGAACAGTATAAACTGGTTTTACTTCTGTTCCATCCTTGGCTTGACAATTATTATTCCATTCATTGCTGTTGATAACGTTAGGTAAAGAGTTGGTATTAACTGTCTCTTGAGATCCGGATGTACCACTACCTACTTGTAAAGTTGGAGGATTGGTACAAGCGTATTGAAGACTAGCTTTACTCGATGTTCGGCATGTTGTATCACATAGTTGCTCCAGATCTTCTACCTGACATTGACAAGTTCCCATCGATTGGACAACGCCTTTATATTCGGTAACACCACATTTTTGTGTGCAGAATGCAATCCATTCATCCATATTGCGACAAACACCATCTTCGGACCGATACTGTACTGCTGGCTCACAGAAATCATATACGTTTCGAACACAGGAGCCTTGTAATTCGGTGTAGCCTTCTTGACATATACAACTCCTATCGCTAGCTTGAAATTCCTTATTTGCTCCGCTACAAGTACACGTTGGCATACCCGTAGTTGGTTGCCTAGCAACTGTGCCACATGGGAAGCAGGCAGTTTGTCCAGGATTGCTCTGGAAGTGATCAACTGCACATGGGATACAATCTGCTTCATTTTTCATTGCAGTCTGGTTATTATAAGAACCTGCTTTGCATACTAGAGGTGTTGAACTTCTTATTGGGCAATAATGACCTCTTGGACATATATATGAATTAGTGGTAGTAACTGTGCGTGTTACTAAAGCGCCAGGGTTACCTGAAGTTGCGCCTTTTAAACAAACGACACCTGCTGGACAATCTTCACATGTTAGACGATTTGGATTACCATAACTTCCAGCTGGACAAATAGAGCAAGTTCTATTAAATGCATCTCTTGGTGTTAAACCTGAATCCTTATAACCTAATGGACATAATATTGGTACGATAGATCCAACATTTACAGTTTTATTGTCATATTCTATTGTTCCATTACCACACCAATAGCCAGGTGGACATGGAATGGGATCTGGTGAACCAGTAGGACAATAAAATCCGGGTGGACATGGGATTTGACCTTCAGCCAACGGGCAATAGAAACCTGCTGGACAAACAATTGGGCCAGAGCTACCACGAGGACAAAGAGTACCATTCAAACATCGTATGCCTGATACTGTTCCATTTACATATGGGCAATAGTAGCCAGAATCACATAGTTGACAATCAGCTTTACTTTTACCATAGCCAGTGTCTTGGTAACTGCCAGGTGGACATGGTTCAGGTTTATTGGAACCTTCGATGCAAAAATGACCGAGAGGACATGGATAAATTGTACTGTTGGTCATGGCCAGATCCGTACAAAGATATCCAGGATCACAAGATCTGCAAGTCGTCATGCTTTTAGCTCCAGCATCAGGTGAAAATGTCCTAATTGGGCACGGCTGTTTTGTTATATTATATGGGCAATAATAACCAGGTGTGCATAAGAATAAGTTTCCTTTATCGTCACACTCATAACCAGCTGGACATGTTGTACAATCTTCCGCACTGACTGCTCCTTCTTTATCGATTACTAAACCGTCGTTACACTTGATTGGAAGTGTAGTTCCTGCTGGACAATAACTACCAACTGGGCATTTCTGTCCAATGGTAACTGGATAGCTACTATCGGGTGTAGGTGTTGGCGAGCCAGTCTTACACCAATAACCTGGATTACAGAAGCCAATTATCTTTCCAAATTGACAGAAAGATCCATTAATACATGGTATACATTGAGAGGGGTTTGTTAATCCTCGAACATCTGACGTTGTATAAGTTCCATTTGGACAGAATGTCGGCTGACCTGAGCCTACCGGACAATATGAATGGGCTGCACAAGAGATAGGCGATGATGAATTTGAGGGACAATAATTTCCGATAGGGCATGGATCGCAACTTGTTTTACCTTGCAGAGGCTGATATGTACCTGGTGCGCACCCAGCTGGCGTAATAGTACCATTACCGCAGTAGAATCCGCGTGGACAAATATAAGCACTAGGTGTTGGTACTTGAATGACAGCTTCTGCAGGGCAGTAGTAGCCTTCTGAGCAAGTTCCAGTTGCAGCTATGGCACCTGCACTGGCACAGTAACGACCAGCAGGACAAGGCCAACAATCGGCCGTACTTGATGCACCTACTACAGGGCGAATGGATCCTGGTGGGCAATCAATTGGCGCGATACTTCCTTGTAAGCAATATTTACCAATTGGGCATAATCGGTTAGTTCCTGATGTCATCGTTGGGGTTGGTGAAACTGCGCCGCCTCCACATAAATAGCCAGCTGCACAATCTCCTGTATAATTAACTTGTCCGGCTAGATTGCAATATTTACCTATTGGACAACTCAAACATTCTGATTCACTTGTTAGATTTACACCACTAGAATAAGTTCCTGGAGGGCAGAATACACCGGTGGCATTGCTTGTTCCATTTGGACAATAAGAACCTGCTGGACAAGCCTCTGGGATGAACATTCCTTTTTTAGAGCAAGTTTGACTTGCAGGACATGCCCAGCAAGTTGCCTGACCGGCTATTGGTGCGTAAGTTCCGGCGTTGCAAGGAAGTTCTACTTTAGATCCTTTCGGACAGTAATTGCCAACTGGGCAAACGTAACCAGTTGTATTATCTCTTGGATTTGGTATTGTAGCACGGCTAATACAAACATAACCTTCATCACAATCTTCAGCTCCACCATTAGCAGTTATTGCACTCTTGCAATACTTTCCAGCTGGGCATGATTCACAATCAGTTATGGATTTACTACCATTGTGAGGTGTATAAGTACCGTCAGGACAATCAGAACCTATAGTTGATCCAGCAACACAATACTTTCCTAGTGGACATTCAGTTCCAGCTGGTGATGGGGATTGCATTCCTGTTGGACAGATATATCCTGGATTGCATTTGCCCGTCGGTACTGATAATCCACTGCTACCACAGTAATATCCAGCTAAGCAAGTAGAACAATTATTAATTGAAGTTATACCAGTACGGTTATTGAAGGTGCCAATTGGGCAAGGATATTCCGTTGCAAATTTTGTTCCCATTGGACAGTAATATCCGGTGATACATGAGGCGTTAGCTAAGTTATCAATTGGAGCTAAACTAGTATCGCAAGTATAACCGGCTGGACATGTTACACAAGCAGATTGACCTTTCTGTGGTTGATATTGACCTCTAGGACAATTTTGTGGTGTTGCAGTACCAATAGAGCAATAGTATCCCTCCGGACATTGATACTGAGATGGATTTGGTATAGATTGGCCGCTTGGGCAGTAATAACCTTGATCACACTTACCAGCAGTAACTGTTCTAGCTGTACCGTTACAATAATCGCCAGGAGTACAAGGAAAGCAATCATTTATTGATACTCCTCGAGCTGAATTCCTATAAGTACCTTCAGGACATTCATTTGGTGTTGCGCTACCCTCAAGACAGTAATATCCTGCTGGACATTGGATTTGAGTAGGGCTAGTTGCACCTTGAGGACAATAATAGCCTGCAGTACAATTTCCAGTGGGTTCAAATATACCTTGACTATTACAATATTTGCCAGCAGTGCATGCCTGTGGTGTTGTGCCACCTTCTAAGCAGAAATAGCCCATCGGACAGACATAGCCTCCTTCACTGGTAGTATTTGGTTTTGGTGTTGCACTACCACCTGTACAAGTCCAGCCACGACTACAGTCGCCAGTTGGAGCTGATAGACCACTCCATCCACAGTATTTACCGCTAGGACAAGGTTGACAATCAGTTAATGATAGTGCTCCAGATACATTATTAAGTTTGCCGGGTGGACACGCATTTTCATATGCAGATTTAGTTCCAGCCGGACAGGCATAACCTGGTGGACATCTTGAATTGGTGTAAGTTCTAGAGGCTACTTCACAGTAGTATCCAGCCGGACAAGTATAACAGCTACCTAACCCGGAGACATTTGCAAATGTACCTGCGCCACATGCAATGGGGAAATCACTTCCGCTTGGACAGTAATAGCCCAAAGGGCAAGCATCTCCAACTCCTACTTGCGATCCATTGCAGGAACCTGTAGAATTGACTGGATTTGGACGATCGGCTCCACTTACGCAATAATAGCCAGTACTACATGGACCAGTTACTGCTGTAGCGTTCAATTCACTACAGTACATGCCTTTGCTGCATTGCTTGCATTCATTGATACTTGTAAGGCCTTTTACTTCACTATACGTTCCGCGTGGGCATGACTTAAATTCTGAACTAGTTCCTTCTGGACAATAAAAGCCTTCAGGACAGGCTCCGACTATGGCACCATTTAGACAGTAGTATCCACTTGGACAGTTTGTACAAACACTAGCTTGGCTTACGTTCGTGTATGTTCCTGGTTTACACATTATAGGTTGAGAGCTATTAGCTGGACAATAATTAGCTGCTGGGCATTTATAAGCGGCTGGTTGACTATTACTGTTAGGTGTATTTGGTGGACAATAATATCCCGGATCGCAATAACCTGTTGGTTCAGTTGCTCCTAAAGTAGCGCAGTACATACCAGCAGTACAAACAGTGCATTCGCCCGAATGTTTTAATCCTTCGACATTAGAGAAATAACCCACTGGGCATGGGATTGGATTGACTGTAGCCAATGGACAATAGTATCCTTTTGGACAAATATTAGCAGTACTACTATTGGAACCTGCATCGCAGTAATATCCTGGTGAGCACTGGCCGTTTGGTCCAGTTAGCCCAGGTACAGAGCAGTAAGAACCATTGGTACATAAGCTACATTCTGAGTCGCTTGTTAATCCAGTAAGAGCGTTAAATGTTCCTAATGGGCAATTAATTGGCTCAGCAGATCCAGTTGGACAATATTTTCCTACAGGACAGACATTAGCATCACTTCCTTGGATAGGCGTAGCTGATTTTGCGTTTTGCTTACAGAAATATCCAGCATCACATAGTCCATTGGGTAAAGTACGTGCTAGTTCAGCACAATAATAGCCAGGTGTACAAGGATTGCAACTACTACTATTTATCACTCCAGATTTGTCACTGAATGTTCCAATAGGACATGGATATTCATTTTCGCGTGTCGTTCCTTCTGGGCAGTAATAACCTGCCGGACAGAGCAAAGCATCAGTAAGCACTGTAATTTCACTAGAACTATTACAGAAGTATCCTTTAGGGCAGCTTTTGCAGGTTGCAGATCCTGTTGTATCTTGATATTCTCCTGCTTTACATCGAATTGGACCATAAGCACCTTCTGGACAGTAGTTACCTTTCGGACAAACATAATCGAAAGGTGTTGCAGTACTCTGATTTCCAGGACAGTAGAATCCAGCGCTACAATTTTTGTCAGGAGCCGATAAACCTGATTGAGTACAAGCTCTACCCGGTAAACATCTTAGACATGCAGACTGATTATAATTTTCAACGGTTGGATTGTAACTACTAGCAGGACATTTAATAGGCCATGAACTTCCTTTAGGACAATAATGACCGGTTGGACAACGATTACCCGTGATACCATCGGTTGGAGCTGCAGTAGTTGAAGCATTTATACAATAGAAACCTGCTTGACATTGTGCATATGGGCTGTCAAGTCCATTTGTTGGACAATACATTCCTGAGAGACAAGCAATTGGAGCAGATGACCCAGCTGGGCAGTAATATCCAGCTTGACATTGGCCTCCACGAGTTGTTGTCATATTTGTGATCGCACTAAGTTCACAATACCATCCTGCTGCACATATTCCTGACCATGTACTAAGACCAGTTGATCCACAATATTTTCCTGGTGGGCATTGCAAACAATCAGTTATTACTGATTTTCCATTTTGATCGTTATATGTGCCAAGAGGACAAGGATTTTCATATTGATTGATTGTACCGTTGCCACACCAATGACCTGTTGGGCAGGGTTTGTCTACATAGTGGACTGTAGCATTATCAGGACAATAATAACCACTGGGACATGTAAAGCATGATGATTGGCCTACTTTATTGTTATATGTTCCAGCAGGGCAAGGCGTCGGATTAACTGAACCTTGTTGGCAATAATGTCCAATAGGACAAATACCTCCAATTCCAGTTCCTAAGCTCTGTTGAGGGCAAGTAAAGCTTACATTGACCGATAGATTTGGGGTGACAGTTGCAATCATGATCGAACTGTTGTAGCTAGGATCGGGCCGATTAACTCCAGACTGGCAATAATATCCTGCGCTACATAAGCCAGTTGTTGTTGTTTGTGCGGGATTTAAACAGTAACTACCACCCGGACAAGCTATACACCCCGTATGATCAGTTAAGTTGAATTGATTACTATAAGTACCAGATGGACAAGAGCGGATATTATATCCAGTTCCTGCAGGGCAGTAATATCCTTCCGGACAATTTACTTTAGACAATGTGATATTATCTGGTGATGTAACTGGTAAGCAATATGAACCGGCAGGACACATGAGGCACTCTGAAGCACCAGGGAAATCGGTGTAATAGCCTGCTTTGCATGATTGTGGTACGGAGCTACCATTTGGACAGTACATACCTGTTGGACATTTATAGCCTGCTGGTTGTGGAACGTTACTTCCAGCTGGGCAATAATACCCACCAAAGCATTCTAATGTTGCACTAGTTTGGCCACTAGCTGGACAGTAATATCCTGCTGTACAGTTTTTACAAGCGGAAGCTGATGCAAGATTGGTTACATCTGACCAAGTTCCTGTCGGACATGGCACAGGTGTTTGAGTATTGGCTGGACAATAAGAGCCAGCCGGACAGTTTTTGAATGTTGCTGATGTAGCACCACTATCGCAATAATATCCTTGTTGACATGGCTTCGCTGTACCACTTACTGATCCTTTAGTATCACAATAGTAACCTCCAGTACAGTTTAAGCAATCGTTTACACTAGTCGCTTGATTTGAAGGGTTAAATGTTCCCGCTGGACAAGCAGTAGGTTGCGTGCTACCTTGTTCGCAATAATGTCCTGGCGGACATACATCGCCTTCGCTACCACCAGTAGGCTTCGAAGTGTTTGATGCACCGGAGCAATAATAGCCTGCATCGCACAATCCTGTCGGCTCGCTAAGATGTTCTGAGCTACAATAATAACCACTAGGACATGAAGCACAACCTGATTGACTTGATCTTCCCGTTATATTATTATAAGTTCCAGCTGGGCATGGAAATTGATTTGCTGTTTGTGTTTTAGATGGACAGTAATATCCTGATGGACAAGCGGAATTATTAAAACTAACAACAGCTGAACCAGAACTGTCACAGAAATATCCTGCAGGACAATCTTTGCATGATGATTTTCCTAATTCGTCTTGGTAAGTACCTGGTGGACATTTTGATGGTTGATAACTGCCAGTAGGACAATAATGGCCTTGCCAGCAAATATTACTAATTGGCTGCATTTCTGTTTCTCCGCCGGTACAGAAGTATCCTGCACCACATAGTCCAGTATAATTGGCATTAGCTGATCCTGCACAATATTTCGTAGCTGGACATTGATAGCAAGCTGATATGTTGGTGTTGCCGACCTCTGACGAGAAAGTTCCTGGTGGACAAGATTTGGGGCTGGTACTGCCAGCTTCACAGTAATGTCCAACTGGACACTGGCCTCCAGTTGCATCGGTTGGATTGGATAAGGTTGCTCCAAGACTACAGAAGTAGCCGGGATCGCATTGACCAGTAGTAGCATTGAGTCTCTCAGTTGCGCAATAATAACCACCTGGGCATTTTTGAGGTCCAGTAGATCCTTCGATGCAAATTTCACCTGCAACACATTTATTACCTCCTTCACCGGATGGTGTTGGTGTCTTTGATCCACTAGCACAGTAGTAACCACCGTAGCAATAAGCAGATGGCTGAGTTAGTCCACTACCGGAGCAGTACATACCAGGTGTGCAGTTCTTACAAGCTGATTCGTGTGTTATACCATCTACATCGTTATAAGTACCAGCTGGGCAAGGTGTCGCATATTTGTTTGTCGATCCAGCTAAACAATAATATCCTTTAGGACAAGCTTGACTTAGAGTAGCTATACCAGCAGTTTCGCAAGTATATCCTGGCGGACAAGCAGTACAATTTGATGCACCTGCTGTAGGTCCATAAGTACCAACGGGGCATTGCATCGGCATATCACTTCCTTGTGGACAGTAATGACCGGCTGGACAAGGAGCTCCATCACCAGTTTGTTTTCCTTGGAAGTAAGGACATGTATCATTGCCTATGATTGTTGTTATGTTGTCACCACTTGGATTTGGCCTATCTGAGCCGGATGAACAGTAATAACCGGCATAACAATCGCCTGTAGGTGCTGTTGCATGCTCCTGATTGCAATATTTGCCTGCATCGCACGGCTTACATTGAGAGATATCATGCAATCCCGAAATAGAACTATAAGTACCACGTGGACATGATTTCCAGTCGTTTCCTGTACCAGCGGGACAATAGTAGCCTTCAGGGCAAGAGCGAGGTTGATGACTTTCTATGCAGTAATATCCAGCTTCACAGGTATTACAACTAGATGATTTGGTAGTATTTTGCCATGTTGAGTTGGCACAATATGTTGGATTAGCGCTGCCTTCAAGACAGAAAGCACCAATTGGGCAAGTGTAGGCGGAAGGTTGTGAAGTATTAGATCCAGCAGGGCAGTAATAGCCAGCATTGCATTTACCGGTTGGCTGTGTAAGTCCAGTCGAGCCACAATAGTAACCAGGTGTACATACTGTACAATCATTACTTGTTTTCAGTATAGTAGTATTGGAGAAAGTTCCGGATGGACATTTTACCGGTTCCAATGTCCCTTCAGGGCAATAATGTCCAACAGGACATGCTTGCATATCAAATCTATCTGACTTCCACGGGCAATAGTAGCCGGCCTGACATTTACCGCTAGGACTTGTGAGATTTAATTCACCACAATAATTGCCTATTGTACAATTGAGGCAATCGCTTTCCGCAGTGATTCCAGTGGTTGGGCTATAGGTACCAAGTGGACATTGTTTTGGTTGCATTGCGCCTTCAGGACAGTAAAATCCTGCAGGACAGACATCAGCATCTGAGCCTTGTGTTGGTGTTGCAGTTTTGGCTCCAGATTTACAAAAGTAACCACCACTACACTTCAGGGTATAATTAGTAGCACCGGGTACAGGACAGTAATATCCAGCTGGGCAAGGTTGACATTGACTGACTTCAATTAAGTTTTCTTTATCACTATAAGTACCAACTGGACAAGGATATTGTACAGCGAATTTGGTACCATTAGGGCAATAATGACCAGCAGGGCATGAACTATTTCCATATACAAATTTACCGATAACGTGAGAGTTATCGCAGAAATACCCTTCCCAGCAGACTTTACAACTTCCTTGGCCTATTTCATCTTGATAATAGCCAGAAGGACAATTAACTGGTTCAGTACTTCCAGAGATACAATAACTACCTGCCGGGCAAATGTAACTTGAAGGTGATGGTGATGTTTGACTTGGAGGGCAATAATAGCCAGGATTACATGAGCCGCTTGGTTTTGTTAAGCCAGGTGTTGCACAATAATGTCCATGTGAACAAAGATGGCAGTCGGTTATAGCTGTATTGCCGGTTGTATTGCCAAATCGACCTATTGGACAATCTAACCCAGCAACACTACCAAGTGGGCAATATTTACCCATTGGACAGATATTGCCACCTTGGACAACACTACTTGGCGCTGGTGTGTTAGCCTGTAATGTACAATAATAACCTGCTGAACAGTTGCCTTCAGGAGCTACTAATCCAACACTACTACAATACATGCCAGCTGTACAAGGTATTTCTGCTGTGCTTCCTTTTGGACAGTAATAACCCGATCTACATTGACCACCTTCTGATGCTACAGTTGGTCTAGCAACCGTTGCACCACTACTACAATACCATCCGCCATCGCATTGATCTTTTGGATAGGTTTGTCCTGGAAGATCACAATAGTAGCCAGGAGTGCAAGCAAGACAAGCTGCTACTGATATTGTTCCAGTAATATTATTATAAGTGCCAATAGGACATGGATTTTCATTCACTGTCGTAGTTTTAAGACCACACCAATAACCAGCAGGGCATGTTACAGGTTCATTACTACCTTGGAGGCAATAAAATCCTGCTGGACAGTCAACACAAGTTGTCTTTCCAGTCGTGTTTTGATAAGTACCAGAAGGACAATCTTGTCTGAATCCATTAGTACATTTAGAACCAGTCGGACATATTGCGCCCCAATCAGTTCTATTGGGTGTTGTACTGCCTGATCCAGCATTGCAATAATAGCCATCACTACATGCTCCAGTAACTTTGGTAGGATCACTTCCATCACAGTAGGATCCTGCAGGGCATACAAAACAATCGGTTTCTGCTGTCAAGTGATCAGCTCCACTATAACGTCCTGGTGGGCATGGTACGGGAGCTGCGCTACCTTCTGGACAGTAATTTCCTTTAGGACAGGGTCCACCTGTCCCTTCGCTGATATCTTTTGGTTGTGCTGTTCTCGAACCTGGTAGACAATAAAAGCCGGCAGTACATTTACCAGTTGGTGCAGCTAATCCTTTCGTTGCACAATAGTATCCAGCTGGACATGATTGACATTGGGTAATAGAGGATAATCCTGTGACATTGCTAAACGTTCCGAAGTTGCATTCATCTGGTGTACTACCAGTTTTTGCAGCGCAAGCGAATCCTTTTGGACATATTTCAGGTTGAGCTGTTCCATAAGGACATTTATAACCTATCGGGCAGTCATCGCAAATTGCTTGTCCTGTACTATTCGCATAAGTTCCAGCCTCGCATACTTTAAAGGTTGTGGATCCAGCAATGCAGTAATGTCCAATAGGACAGATATCTCCAGTTACTTTGTCAGTAGGTGTAGCAGAGGTAGCATTGGCTATACAGTAATAACCTTCATTGCAAAGGCCAGTTGCATTTACTTGTCCTTCTGGGGCGCAGTAATAACCTGGTGGGCACGATCTACAATCGGATTTAGAGCCTTTACCGCGTATTTCAAGGTAAGTACCGAGTGGACAAGGCACAGCATATAATGCACCCGACTCACAATAATGACCTGCAGGACATAAATCACCATATTCAACTTGTCCACTAACATAGGCGGGATCTGGTGAACGAGCTCCGGCATTGCAAACATAACCTGCATCACAGTATCCACTTGGCTCAGTCAAACCACCTGTATGACAATACTGACCTCTGAAGCAGGTAATACATTCTGACTGACTGGTTAGATGAGTAGTGTTTGAAAATGTACCAGCTGGACAATCTTTGGGTTCAAAAGTTCCTGTTGGGCAATATGCACCTGCTGGACAAGTGATAGGTTCTGTCATTCCGACCACCGGACAAAAGTATCCAGCTTTACAACTCCAACAAATAGATGCATTATGCAGTGGCATGTAGGTACCTGCTGGACACTGATATTGTCCAGCAGATCCAGCTGGTGCGTAATGTCCAGGATCTGTTATGTGTTGTTTTGAAACAACAGCGCTTCCATTACAGTAGAATCCACCATCGCATGGTCCAGTTGGCTCTGGTCGACTTGTTTGTGAGCAATAATATCCAGGTGTGCATGCAGTACAACCAGATTGATCGACAGCTCCAGAGACATTGCTGAAGGTACCAGGTGGACAAGGCAATGGACTTCCAGTACCTGTGATACAGTAGCCACCAGTTGGACATATTTCTCCTGTTACTCCATCAGTGGGTGTTGATGTAGTAGCTCCACGGTAACAAACATAACCAGCATCACATTTGCCTGTAGGTGTCATTAATCCACGGGTATCGCAGAACCAACCTGGGTCGCAGCGTGTACAATTTTCAGAATAAACAAGAAGGGTGGTATTACCATAACTTCCCAGAGGACATGGATCTGGCTTATCTGACCCTGGTTTGCAATAATAACCTTTTGGACATTCTACTGGGTTATTAGTACCAGGTTCACAATAATATCCACCTGGACAGCCTGGACAATCATCTGCAGTTTTTCCACCGTATGTAAGTGAATGTGTCCTTGGAGGGCATGGTTCTTGCTTGGGACCATAAGAACCAATAAGGATACCGAGATGAGTATTCGATATATTTGTAGGGCAAAAATATCCAGGATCGCAAAGACCAGTTGTTGTTGAGGAGGCTGCTAAGCAATAATATCCTGCCGGACAAGGTAAACAACTAGCAAGACTACTTCCTCCTTTGTCGGGATTATAAGTTCCTACCGGACATGGGATTTCTTCTAATGTTGCTTCTGGACAATAATAACCTATGCTACAATTGGTTGCTTGTGAAACAGAGCTTAATCCAATACCGCATAGTTTACCAGCTGGACACTTTTTATTCGTTAACATATTAGATTCGGTTGTTTGAGTATCATCACAATAATGGCCTCGCTTACATGCTAAGCAGATGGAAGTTCCATTTTCTGAATAATACGATATTCCGCAAGAGATTGGATCGATAGTAGCATTTGGGCATCGATAACCACTTGGACATGGTATACAATCGGAGGATCCTTTTGCTGCTGTACCAATTAAGTAACCTGTTGCATTAACACCATAAGGCATATAGTATCCTTCCCAACACTCTTCTGGCTTAATAGCAGCTCTTTCACAATAGTGACCTTGAGTACAATCGTTACAATCAGCGACTGATTTTGCTCCGTAGTCACCGTTGTAGGTACCATTTGGACAGGCATACTGCTCGACATATTTGGTACCGTTAGGGCAATAGAATCCAGGTGAACATAACCCAGTTGGACTTGCTTGTCCACCAATACAGTAACTGCCTTCTGGACATTGTAAGCATTCATTTGCAGTGGATAAGTTATAATACGGATTGTAAGTTCCTTCATTGCATGGGAATGAATCAGGCAACGGAGTTCCTAATGGACAGTAATAGCCAGCTCGACATGGTTTTGGACCTGTTGCACTTCCTATTGTACCCGTTGTTCCCCATCCACAGAAATACCTTTCAGGACAGATATCGCATTCTGAAGCTGCCGTTAAATTGGTCTTTCCGGAGTAAGTACCAGGCATGCAAGGATATTGATTTTGTGCAATTGTACCATTTGGACAATAATGGCCTTCAATGCAAGTTAAATAATAGGTTGTTTGACCTGAATTAATACAAGCATATCCTGGCGGGCAAGGCAAGCAATTGATAAGATGTCCTGTGCCATTATCTGGATTAAATGTTCCTGGTGGGCATGCAACTGGTGCTGTTGATGGTTTGCTATTCACTCCACCGGGACAATAATGACCAGTTGGACAAGTAATACATACTGATGGATCGCTTAATCCAGTTGTATTGCTATACGTTCCTACTGGACAAGCATATTGAGTTCCGACAAAACTACCACCTGGACAGTAGTAGCCTGCTGGACATATCGTACCTCCAGTAGCACCTTCAGGACAGAAATATCCTTCAGGACATGCATGGCATGCTGCAGTTTCAGTGGTTTGTTGTGTTTCATTTCCAAACTTGCCACCTGGGCACGGAAATCGGTGGGCAAATGTTGTACCAGGAGGACAGAAGTAACCAATTGGACAGACTGTACTGTAACTACTATCACCAGGGCCTTCGCAATAATAACCTTCAGGACAAGTAACGCATTCTTTTATCGATTCCGTCTGATTGTATGGTTGATATGTACCAGCTGGACAAGGATAAAATCGAAGACCGTCACAGTAGCCACCTGTAGGGCATTCCGTTCCTTCTGGTCTTGGAGAACTGGATTTTTCTGGGCATATAAAGCCTCGATCGCACTGTAAACAAGCAGTTGATTGTCCGGTAGAATACGTACCGGGTGGACAACCTACAGGTATTGCGGGATTGTTACATTGCCAGCCAGCATAGCAAGCTGTGCAATTGACTGAATTTCCAAGACTAAAGAATCCAGGTGGACATGTTTCGATTCCGCTATAAATAGATGGACATTTACTACCTGCTGGACATAGGCTACATTCTGTTTGACCGCCGAGTGAATATTGTCCTTCAGGACATTTGAAAATTGTGTTATTTGTAACGGAAACAGCTGTGTCTGGACATGCATAACCAGATGGACATAACGTACATTCAGTTGCATTGCCGTGTGAGTAATGACCAGGTGTACATGGAAGTACTTGATCTTGATCAGTATATGGGCAGTAATATCCTGGTGGACATGGTATACAGCTTGTTGCTCCAGCTAATGCATAAAATCCACTTGGACATGCAAAGTTATTAGTACCATTAATGGATAAGCACATGGTACCAGCAGGACATTGCGTACAAGCTGATGCTCCATCTTCACTGTACTCTCCTGCTTGACAATCGACAATTCCTGAGCCATCTGGGTTAGGACAAGCTTTACCTGCAGGGCATACAGTACAATTTGCTTGGTTACCTAATGAATAAGTACCTGGAGGACACGCAAGTTCAGTGTTGTCGGTAGTTCTAGGACAGTATGAACCGGCACTACAAGCCGTGCAAGAAGCACCAGTCGCTTGAGCAAGTGCGTAAGTTCCTGGTGTACATATTATAGCTTTGCTAAAGTTTCCTTTATCAACACAAACTCTACCAGGTGGACAAACATGGCATATTGTGCTTCCTCCTTCGCTATATGTACCGTCTGGACAATCTTGAGGTATTGTGCTTCTATCAGGACATGCTTTCGCCGCAGGACAGACAATACAGCTTGTTTGATTGACTTGATTTTGGTAATAACCCGGTGGGCATGGAATAGGTTTCTGACTTGGATTAGGACACATAAAACCCAATGAACACGGTAGACAACTAGTAGCATCATCCGATACTACTGAGCCCGATTGACACAATGATGGTGTTGCAGTTGGACTACCACCTAGCAAATACTCATTAGCATTAAGGGAAGTACATGACGTTTTACCTGCTGTCGAATAAGTTTTAGCTGGGCATGGGATAGGTGCATCTGTTTTAGTTGGACAATAAGAACCTGCAGGACAAGTTTGACAACTACTTGCACTTTCTAAACTGTATTCACCAGAATTACAATATCCTGATATACCGGTGTTACTACAAGTAGCACCAGCTGGACATTTTGTACAGTTAGTGGAACCAGACGTCGAATAAGTTCCTGCAGCACAACCTTGCGGTGAAATTTTAGGATCAAAACAGAATTGACCAGCCGGACAAATCGTACAGCTAACAGCACCGCCATTTGAATATGTTCCTGATGGACATGGTTGTTGAATTCCTCCCGGCGTTGGACATTCGTAGCCAGGTGCACAATTTAGGCAACCAGTGTGATTATTAAATGCGATCTGACCATTTGGACATGTTGTACATGATGTTGCACCTCCAAGGGAGTATGTTCCTGATGCGCAATTTTGGGGTAAAGCTGGATTAGAGCACTCTTTACCGGCTGGACATGCAGTGCAAGAACCAGCGGCTGATGTACTATAGGTTCCAGTTGGACATGTAAAACAAGTCATATTGCCATTGGTACTGTATTGTCCAGCTGTGCAAGCCATTGCTACAGTTTTATCGGTACAGTGATAACCAGCAGGGCAAGGTATGCAAGCTGATTGACCGGTCGATGGTTGATAATTGCCATCTTGACAAGCAGTTGGTTGTGACATTTCGTTGTTAGGACATTCATGACCTTTTGTGCAAGCGCTACATGATGCACTGCCATTGGCAGCGTATGTACCAGCTAAGCATTGACTTGGAGTGGATGTTGTTTGGATAGAGCATGATTTTCCACTTGGACACGGTGTACAGTAAGCTGTGTTACCTTCACTGTAGTAGCCCGTTCCGCAAGCAACAGGAGCATCGGCAGGATCGGTACATTTATAGCCGGGTGGACATGTCGTGCAACTAATTTGACCGGTTTTATTATTATATGTACCTGCAGTACACAACTCAGGGTTTCGGTCAACATTAGGGCATTTATATCCAGTAGGACATAGCTGAAAAAATGATGCAAGATGGTATTAATGATCAAGAAGTGATATGGTCAACGTAAGTCGTGTAAATATTGATATATTAAAATGTGTAGTATATATTTATTAATGTATGTTTCACCGTAAAAGAATAAGAGATATGCTTACAAGTTAGCTTTTACTTACCAAGCATGAGCTTGAACTGTCTTGTTTTGTCTTGTTATTATATGTTCCTGATGAGCACAATTGTGGAGCAGCAGTTCCTCCAGTACAACTGCATGAAAGGAAAGAAAATCACATGGTGGTATTAATTTTTTAACTGTTCTATAACATTATAAAACTTAGTAGATTATGTTTTATTTATTTGAGTTGTTAATAGAACTTTCAAGTTGTCTCCTTTGACCATAAATATTTGTCAATTAATATTCTAACCAAACTAGAATCTTCATTACTACTTACTAGTAACCGGGGTTGCATTCATAACATGATCCTGCCGGTGTCATGAAGTGACCAATGCCACATGTAGTAGCATTTCCTGGCCCATTACAATCAACATCGCAAACACAAGCGGCTATAAAAATAAAATTAGTAGCGTTCATATTACAACTTAGAAAGGTAAAAAATACATCTCTTCAGCCAGTACAAGTAAAAAAATGTAAGATTATTCAAGATTATAATGAATGGAAATGGATAACTTGCATTTGTACGGTAGCAAATAATTTCAAATTACAATAGGCGTTTAAGTTTGATAAATTATTTCTTAGCGGATAATATCTATTCGTTACGTAAAATTTTCTATAACGAATTGACAAGTAGGTAGATAATCTGATTATTACACTAAATAGCAGAGGCTTGAAAAAAGATTGCACTGTCGAAAGTACGAGTATTCTAAGAATTGTAAGAGGAAATAACTCCGTTAATGCTGGAAAGTTCTATAAAACGCATGACTAGATGGACCAACTAGTTAGATAAGTAAGTTAAATAGATCACTGATTAAAAGAACAAGTTTAACGTATTGTATGAGGAAACGTATCATCAAGCACTGATAATGCAGCATTCCTATTCACTGCAGTAAAATTGAACGCAAAATAGCATCGCTATTAAAAAATAGGTCATCGTAATATCGTAACAGCAATAATCCATTTCTTCTACACTCTAGTTATACGCTTACCTTTTGTCAAATTGGGTAGAAAAATAAGTAAAAGGAAAAAACCAAGTAAGGATTTCTTCGTTTCCATTATTAACATCGTATAATGGTTAATTATGCGTGCTTATAGCACTTGTCAGGTTTAAAAATACTGAAAACTGCCTGATACCACGACAGTGTGTTCAGTGGTCGATACTGAATATCCAAGATGGATAATAACCGAATAAAAAAGAGTGATTTTTCTTGATTAATTTGACTGAGTAAGCTTTCAATTCTATTCTTGAATAATAAAGATAGCCACTTGTCGTAGGACAAGTTTTTTTCTAAGTCGATTTTGAACTTTTAGTTTTTCTTCTATCCTAGAATAGTTTAGTTGGAGAGTTATTAGATTTATTATCAGAAAATATCTAATCGCTTACAAGACCATGGTCTATTAATCAGTTTGAAATATCGATTATACGCTCAAGTGGAGTAATAGAATGATTTCTTAAATTATAATTATATCCTGTTAGTCTTACCTTGTAAAAATTGGACGATATCTTTTTTACTTACAGTCTAATAGCTTATTTTTTTATGTTGGATAGAAAAAGCACGCAGTCATCCGGCCGCCTATATGCAAATGACTTGTTCGCCATGGTAACCGTGACGTTAATTGCCATGATTGGATGTAGGTAAAAGTCCGCAGGGTAATAGAGGACTTGTAACAATGCAGAGAAAAAATTGAACATTGAGTGAAAGCTGTAAACAGGTTGCATATTCAATACGGAATTAATGTTAATAGAGGCTAGTGATGTCATCATCCTTACATTAGTTTGATCAAGGTAATTGTTATAGTTGGAATTTATGAATATTACACACTACTTGTTCTGCATTGACACCATCTTGAATATAATTCATAATGGTGTTTTCTATTAGGACAAATAATAATATCAGTGAATTACAAGATAGAGTGAATAATCTTGTAGTTATTTTTTTTTTCTGGTATAAATTAATATGTCTTCAGCGAGTTTGAGAGTAATGAAATGATTACAGATAGACGGTTATGATTTCTGTTCATTTTTTTACTGGCTAATACAGGAATATAAAAACTGATATATACGAGTAATAAGAAGATAAAATTGCAAGCGTTGCATTCTGTGCGGGCGAGTTTTGGTAAGTCTGCCCGTTATGTTGCGCCATACTAGCCGTAAATTATTAACTAATAGCCGCAGTACGCCGATCAGTGTTGTGGTGATAGGGTTAAAGGAAGATATTTGATGCTAACCAGTAGAGAGTACAGTAGAATCGCCAGTATCGATAGGTCCGATCCATACTGAACAAATAAACAATCAGTACAGTAATCACGAATAAAGGAAGGGTAAATAATTGCAATGTAGTACTATGATTAAGTAGACTCTATACAAAAGTCAATTTAAAGCTTAATTAATCACTCATTAGTGTAGATATATTAGCCTATTCAGAGTACATGACCTAGCAAAAGGCAAAAGTTGTCAATAACGATTCTTAAACGCTATCTTTAAACTCCATACAACAGTCAATTTAAAGCTTACTGAATCATGCTTCAGTGTACAGTACATGGAGGGTAATAGCCTATTCAAAGTAGACGACATTGCAATAGGTAAAAGTTGTCGATAACGGCACTTTAACGTGATATTCAGCGTTCAACATAGTTTCTATCCTTACTCTACATTGATACTTTTCGCCTGCGCGTGCAATAAAATGGATCCGTGTCTTCATCATGCTAACGCATTTTGACAAAATAACGTCAATTCGAACATGTTTCGAGAAGATTAGCAAATGCATAGGATGATCTAGGCAATATTCGTTGAAAATGCACTGACATCGTTAAAAAGAATAAGGTCAAGGACCATAGGATCAATTTTCGTTTTGCTAACTTATGTCCTGTTTCAACCCAATGTAATAGAATGAACATCTCGTGAACATTTTGAAAGTATGCGCTCCAGAAGCTTTTTAAGATTGAGCTACTGTTGAGCTCAACCAATTCATTCAATACATCTATCTAGGCTCAAGCGAAAGAACGAATTATTAATGGACTAATATTTTAACCACATTTCTAGTGGAAGCATGGTAAAAATGATTATACTGTAGTATAGGAGTCTCGACATCGATAATTATAATACACCGGCATAATTTGTGGTATATTGTGCTTATGATGCGAGCTAGTGGCTGCTGAGTCGTTAAATGAGTAATTGTAGTAGCTTGATACTGTAGTACTAAACCATCTTATTGACAAATGAAAAGAGATTTTTTGTTATTTTCTGCACCATGTTCATTCTGATTAGACATCACGTCAGGAGCAAGTACACCATTGTACAGTATATTACTAGTGAATTTATTATCAAAATTGTTATGTAATGGCTATCATTTGTATTGATAATATCAAGGCAACATAGTATTCGACTAGAGGACTGGCCGATCAAAAACGTATTTCCATTAATATCTTATCCTATCGACACAATAACAAACTAATAAGAGAATAAATAGTGTTGTAACTCAATTAAATTCCTGTGGAAGCGCGCACGTTCTACTCAGAGTTTATAGCAAGTTTTAGTCTTCCTTGAAGTGAATGAAAATGATCTTTAGAAGTCGAATAGCTCCTCAGTAAGAAGAGAAATTACGAACACGCACACCTTTGCGAGGAATCTTCCATAAATACTCCTACTATCCAATACGCCATTTGCGTACACTATCAAATTCCCTCATGTCAATTAATATACTGTACAGGTCGCATCTATATTTATACCTACGATGCCTATTCGCTGGCAAATGCTATAACGCAGGTATTTTTTTTTCAAGTTAGCCTCATCTAATCCCCCATATTTAATAAAATTATCATCAAAGCATAATAATTCGATTGTTGCATTGCTTTCTGGTTTCAACTAATCTTGCAAGATACATACGTTTAGCAGTGAAAGGTACTGCAATACTCCTATTCCAATACGCAATATAACAACTTTACTGTGGGAAGATATGATCTCATACCACATTAACTCCAATTTCTTAGGGTAATTTTTAAACGATTAATACCCTTTCAAGTACTATAGACCGCAATTTAGATAGGCTTCAAAAGAATTGTAGCCCTGATATTAAACTCGTATGACTTTGTATTTTATCAAAGTCTAAAAGTCTAATAATATAAGCACACAAGCTGGTTCTTCTGCTATATACAGTATAGCGCCAATTTCATCCTAATTCCTGTACATTTAATAGATGTACAGTATGTTTTTATATGAGAAATTTTTAAAATGGCTGAAAAAGTCTAGAAAAACAAGATCTTTTTGCAAAGGCTACTTCTGCCTACTTGGATAATTTATTTCTGGCAATAGAGCATGTATAATTGCCATACTGAATGCAGCGTTGTAAAAGCCTTGCATGACCACAAAATTATGAACTTAATTTAAATTTTATTTAAAGGAAATAGTATAAAACTGGCCAGCCAATACCGGTAAGGGCTGCATTACCGGCTTTGGCCGTAACATAGCGACTATGAACTGCAGTGGCTGTTATACAGTATGGGGAGATGAGCGATACCAGAGAATCTAGAGCAATGAGTTTATTGATCATTTTGGCTTGCAAATTTTCTGCAAAATGCGATGGTGAATACGAGCAAATTGCCACAATTTTACCTGTCGCATAATTTTGAGATCATTAGCCGTTCAGTAGCAGGGACTTCTTAACAGTATTTATCTCTCACCCTTGCACCGCAATACTCAACAAATTCTTTACCCTCCCCGTCTTTAACATGCTGTGCTTAGTACTTTTTAATTATTGAATTATTAAAGAAGTATAAAAGCTTGCAAATTTTCTGCAAAATGTGAATATGAGAAAATTGCCACAATTTTACCTGTCGCATAATTTTTGAGATCATTAGCCGTTCAGTAACAGTATTATTAACAGTATTTATCTCCCTTTCACCGTAATACTCAACAAATTCTTTACCCTCCCATCTTTAAGATACTGTGCTTAGTACTTTTTAATTATTTAATTAATAAAGAGGTATAAAAGCTTGCAAATTTTCTGCAAAATACGATGGCAAATACGAGCAAATTGCCACAATTTTACCTGTCGCATAATATTGAGATCATTAGCCGCTCAGTAGCAGGGACTTCTTAACAGTATTTGCCTCTCTCCCTTGCACCGCATACTCAACAAATTCTTTACCCTCCCGTTTTTAAGATGCCGTGCTTAGCACTTTTTAATTATTTAATTACTTAATAAAGAGGTACATGTCCCCGGCAGTAGAGAGCAGTTAATAAAGTTAGCATAGCTTGTTCGGCAGCTATCGTGGAGTATCGCAATCAGTCTCAATCATTATGGGTCCAAATTGCAACATGAATTGTCGTTCACTAGTAGAATACGAGTAGATTAAATGCCATTTGCTTCGTTATTACCTTCACTTTAAATAAACTGACCACCTCTTAATTAGGTTGATAATTTACATTCTTCCGCAGATCGACAGACTAGTTTACGACAGGGCTTCGTGAGCACCGTCCTGGGATCAAACTGAACTCAACAAATTTCATTGGCACTTTGTAAAACTACATCATGTCTCCATGGACGCTCGCAATTACAATACTAGTACATGTGTTGCGGTTTTGTGAATATTTTATTTCTTATTAACTTAATCTACAGTAATCTAATAATGAGTGGTACAGTACATTATGTACTGTATTGTACTGTACAGTACAGTACAGTACCGTACTGTACTGATGATTGACTGTAGGGTATGTACTGTACTGTATTGTACTGTACACTGTACAGTACTAGGCAAGAGACAGGACGAAACTCCTAGCACAAACAGAAATGTTCATTTGTCTTGTTTAGTACTTTATTAGTTGATCCGCTCGTAGACCCTAGGATACAAAACGAATTGATCAGTTTTAACCTTAATTAATTCATTGCTTTTCTTTCTTTTCTCATCATCGTAGCGGTAAGCTTGTCAAATATCTGCTATCAGTCGAACCTATAAACTGAAAAAGTTTATTACTGTCCTGTGTATTTGAAAATAAATAAAAAGAAGTGACTTTGAGTCAGTCAGTTGTAGCCAGCCGTTGGTGGTCAAGAGTAAAGTCAAAGTTCGGATTCTCTTCTGTTCTTTTTGCATCAATTCTTTTATAACCAAAGCGTGGACCGCCGTTTTCGGGCCATCCCATTTTCCATCGTCATACTGTTCAGTTCAGTTACTTCAGGGCATACAGTGTACTGTACTAAAGGTAGAAAACTTCAACACATTTTAATTTAAATTTTGAACTATCAATTTAACCTCGCAGGAAAGGTCACGGCACAAAGGCTGACCGTGGTTTACAGTACACTGTACTGTAGATTACAGTACAGTGTACGCCGTGTACAGTACAGGACTTGACCCGTTTGCGCACCCCCGGGATCCCCACACTAGCAGCCCATTCGATCTTGTAACGTTATCAAAGCTCTATTTGATTGGTAGATAAAATCATGCTACTATTTCAATCCATTCTTCTTCTATCACGTGCCTCAACATTTCCACACACTTGGTAAGGTCGAAAAGAAAATGAAGAATTAATAAATACAGGTGGTAGTCTGGTACCATGGTACCAGAGTTGCACAGCCACTGACTGCTGCCCATTTTTTAGAGACCCTTCAAAGTCTCTACTCTCGACTGCACATCATGACAATCGATCAACAGTTCAATCCAATATCATTGAAAGGTCTCCTTTAAAAATAGGTAACTTTTATTGGGTAAAGGTCCACACAGTATCATGATGATACTGGAAGTTGGAGCCATCACACGTGAATCAAGTACCATTCTGTGTATGGTGTGACAAGATGGGGGTAGTCCCTCATAACCTTGAAACCTGTCAGTCTTAGATTACTTTAGTACTGCACAGGCGCTCTAGTCGCGTGCTCTGGTACGTGTTTAGTGTACACTGACACCTACTGCACTCGTCACTCTGACTAGTGACTACTCAGTATACTGTACTGTACTGCACCGTTCTCACGCCTACAGTACATACACTGTAGGACAGGGTGAAATGCCAGAAGTGCTACAGTATGACCCCATGTTGAACCATATGGGCAGATCAGTACAGTATAGTGAAATTGTACTACCGCTCAGTCCATTTATCGCGGCAGCGTGACGGTCAGCCTTCATTTAACAGATCACTTCGCATCGTTCCTCTTGCAACGGAGTAAAGAGAAAGTGAAAAATTATTTCCATCCATTGCAGTCAAATCTTGTAGCAACATGGATTTGGTATTGGATTTTTGTGATCAATACTTTCTAACACCGTATATCTACCCTAGCCATTGGTCTGAAGATTGGATTGTTCGTCAAGCAATCTCGCTATACCTTATCACCACCATTGGCGGTGGCCTTTTGTATTATCTCACCGCCACCTTGAATTACTGGATGGTCTTCGATCATGATCTTGAAAAGCATCCTCATTTCTTGAAAGATCAAGTGCGCTTAGAGATTAAAACTTCACTGGAAGCGATACCGATCATGTCGTTTTTAACAGTAGTCGCTTTCTTATTGGAAGTACGCGGTTATTCACAATTGTATGACGATATCAATTTGTATGGAGGAATTGGTTTTGCAATCTTTAGCATGGTATCCTTTCTCTTATTTACTGATATGGGCATTTATTGGATTCATCGTTTCTTGCATACACGTTATGTTTATAAGTATATCCATAAACCACATCATAAATGGAAGATTGCCTCGCCATTTGCTAGCCATGCTTTCCATCCGATCGATGGTTTCATGCAAAGTTTACCCTATCACATTTATCCCTTTCTTTTCCCTTTGCATAAGTTGACCTACTTAGGTCTCTTTGTTTTCGTCAATATTTGGACCGTCTCTATCCACGATGGCCATTGTCGTGTACCGGCATTACTTCGATCGGTCGTCAATGGCTCTGCCCATCATACTGATCATCACGTTTACTTTGATTATAATTATGGTCAATTTTTCACCTTGTGGGATAAACTTGGTAAATCTTATCGCCATCCTAGTTCATTCGATGGCAAGGCTCCACTAGATGAAGTGAAGCGCCTACTGGACAAACGCGATAAATCCCAGTAAAGGCGCTATGAATCAGAACCCAATAATAAAAGTGTCAACGATAAAAGAATCGAGCAATGTAAAGCAAAGTTGCCTTTTGGACTATCATGAGTAACCTTTGCTTTCATAAGCGAATTAATCTTATTTATCACTACATTCTCCTGGTGGCTTTTTTACATTATATATATCTTCATATTATCCATTACCTCTTAAATTAATAATCAAATCAATTAGAATGACATTAGGACCACAGTTGATTTTGCATTGAGTATTCTTGAACTTTGTCAACAACTGCCGTATCTTCTTATCCACTCAACATAAATGGAAATACACCCGTGAGTGTAACTGTAGGTTGAACTATCGTCACTGGCATAGCAACAAACATAATTTTACTTTTATTACTGTGTACCTCTCAGCTATGCCGACTGCTTCCTCCTGTGCAATTCAGTTAGTGCGTTACGACATAACATTGAATCATCCAAAGATTCAACGTACACATTCACTGGTAATCTTTCCAGTGAGTAAGAATACGGCTTTTACAAGTTAACTTTAGTTGCGTAGCTATCAGAACCAAACCTCTAGGATAATTTAATGGTATTGCTTTATTATTGCTTGGATTAACCCCACGTAGATAATACGTCATTTTACAATTTGTTACTACCCATACGATGATGCAATAGATCGATTTGTGCACGGCTTGTAGCTAGCAGAATATCAACCGTGGCCTGATCGCAACAATGAAAACCATATGTTCCATGGCTGTTCAACTCCTCGACTACTGGTGTTCTACTGTACAAGTGTGCAACGCCATAATAAAATACTTGGCGATGACATCATACGTTAACTGAAAATAGATTTAGCAATAGGCAGATACCTATCGGAATGAGAATAGGAAATTGCATCGCCCTGCCTCTTGCTGAAGATATTGGCTAAATTATTTGTAATACATAAGTAGATGAATATTATGCTAGCATCCGCTATATAAAACTCTTACATACGTATCTGATACCGTAAAAGTTTTGGCACTTTATTACAGTATTTTCGATTACGATATTTTTTCTCCTTGTGGTAATGGATACGAAGGGATGAGAGCTGCTGTTAGCGTCAATCCCTCGTCGATTTGCTACAACCCGACTGACGAATGATCACTATTATTAATTAATTGATTTATTTAACTATATTGTATTGATGAAGATATTCTAAATATTTCGGAATAAGTATCTTTGGCCAGGTTTCTTGTCGTAATGTTTGTTACGTTATTACAGCCTTATAGCATATTGCGATGGCAAGCTAGCTAACTACAAAATATTTGCAAAATCTAAATTTTTTCTATCGATATCAAAGCTTCGATTTAGTGATGTATTTATAAATGCAGTAGAAATGGGCACTGTTAACATCGCTATGCTATTTATAGAAAAAATATTATCCTCTGTTATTACGTAAAATCGACTTCTACAGTAGTAAATGTTGAGAATTTTTAATTTAGGGTGAATGGATCAAGTTCAGGGTGATCTTGGCTATAGTAATTGGTAAATTTTAACATCTATTCCTTGACCATTTGCGCATAGATGTGATACAATCACGAAATAGGTGACTGTGATACTAATTTGAGCTTTATTATAAAATAATTTGTGTTATAAAATGGCTCGTACGTTAGGTTGCATTTTCACTGGGTTTGCTTACTGTAATCAAGGTGATATTGTACTTACAAAGTAAATAAAGCATCTATTCGATAATTTACGTCAAAAGCTTATTTTCTTTTTGTACTAGGCGCTCAGCTCAATACCATTGACTAGATATTTTACGACTGTGCTTACATCTATAACGATATTACAAATGTTATATCAAACGTTTGAAATACTGTAGTACTTCTAGCAATTACCGCCAATAACATTAGTTGGTCATTTTAAGATTTCTCTAATGACAGCGATGAGCTATTAATAAACGCTGTTGAGAATAGAAGCAGTTCAAAACAGTTTTTAAAAAGCACACTATAAATGACTAGTTTTGTGTCCAAATCTCTCCTAGACAAGGAAATATTCACATATCGATACAGGACGATCTATTTAGTCATTTGAGATAAGAACATTCTTACTTCACTATCGCGTGCAGATCATGCTAACTCACTCTTTCGATACTATAGTGTTGCTTGTCAGCAGAAACTATCAACCATTGCTAATCATGTCACTTTAGAACGTAATTACAAGACTTAAATTGATAAGTCATTGACAATTTGCTATTACAACTCAGCTTTTACATCATAGGGCTCATGTATATGTGCCAATTTACTCCGGTAAAGCATTATAGCTTTGATACTTCTTTAAATTATAATCCAGAAGAAATTGAATAATCTCAAATCTGCCATGATCGGACAAATACGCATACTTTACTCTTACATGCTTCCTTCTGATCCATTGCACATAAAGCGTTAATAGTCATCAAGTTAAATTGTAACAATCTTTATTAACCTAATATCAAAATCTACATACAACATACTAGTCAAAACACTTTAGTTTTCCAGACCCCAGTTTCGGTCATAAATGTTCATATGCCATGTAGGGTAGACAAAACCGCATTTATTTATACATTATTAATAACGTCACTTCTTAATTTAGCAATAATATCAATCACTGCGGTAAACTACAGTCACTTGACTATTACAGCTACTTACGTAAAAGATACATCATGTATCCTGAAACTGCATGCTTTTAGGTAGATTTCAACACGTGTAATAATTCAAAAGTGCGATATTGCAAGGTAATAAGTAAGTTATGATACAATACGACATGAAGAAGGATAACATAAAAGTGGATTAATTCAGATTATATTGATAGCAGTACAACCGAATAATTATTCAACTATTTCTCATTGGTCCTAGGCATATGGAAAGGAGCTGGAAAAAGCTGGCATAGTCTATAAATTTCTATCGAAATCCTAAACGCTTTTTTTCACGTTCTTTCCTCTTTACATTTTCTATGTTGCGATCTTTCCATGTACTCTTTCTCAATTTTATAGGACGGTTTCCAACATATTTCCCTAAAGAAAGGAATAGAATTATTCCGTCTGAGTAACTACTTATTCACAGTTGGATAGAAGGCTAACTCAGTCTGGTCAAATAAGATGATAGTTTTCATACCATTCATTTCTTTCATTGCACGCAGGTAATCCTTTGAATCTTTAAAGCTAAGAAATCCGTATCCTTTGCTCTTATTACTTCTTTTATCGCGAACAACCTTAACATTTTGTAGACTGGAGTATCTAGAGAAAATCCGAGTTAATAGTTCCTCGGTTACCTCGTTACCAAGATCTCCACAGAATAACCTAAAGTCGTCTAGATTCAAAATAATAGTCAATTTTTCTTGAATGTCTTACGTTGAAGTGCTCATTTAAATAAGTGGTTATCATTCATTGGAAAGAAGTTGTTAACTATGAATACAGTTACTTACTTGTATCCCAGGTAGATAATGTAGTGTCCTCCCAAACTTGTCCTCCGGCCATTCGTAAAATTTTTTTATCTTTACTTTTAGCTCCTTTTGTATCATTAGTAGGATTTTCCTGTCGTCCTGTGGAAGCAGATGAACTAGAGGCTAAGGCAGCAGGAATTACCGGTTTCGAATTTCCTACTTGATATTGTGACTCCCATTGGCGTTGTTGCTCAGGAGTAACAATGGAAGCACTTGATTGTTTTACAGGTGGAGGTACTGTTGGAGGCATTGGCGGAGGCACTGCTACATTACTACTATTTGCTATATTACGAGGTGGCACCATTGGAAAAGCTTGATATTGTGCATAATTAGGGTTTTGTGGACGAAATCCGTACCCTTGTGGGTAAGGATTACCCCTTGTCTCTTGTTTGAGTTCTCGTTCAAATCTGTGACAATAATAAACAATAGTGAGAATATTATCGATGGAATAATTACTGTATACCCTTTAGAATCAGGTAGGATTACAATCCTAAATCGAGACTAGCAATAACGTACAGACAGTAAATTAATATTACATTGACTATAGTACTTTACTCATACATTAGTATTCCTATCAGCATTTCAATGTAAAGAGTATAAATTATGTTGAATCTTGTTGGAAAGTGTGGTTGGATACTTTATACTAAAAAATACCCACCAACTGTTTCTTTACCATCTCTTATACATCATTGATATTAAATATCTGATCTATGAAAGGGCGGGTGATGCAATTACTCGAAGAAGTAATACAGCATTTACTAAATTAGGCTGTATTTAAAGTGAGTAGTTTTTGTATGAAAGACTTCATTTAGACCTTCTCATTCACGTTTCAGGAGGCTTTTGCCATTTCGCAATTTTATAACTAACAAATATCCTTATTATGCTTACCGTACTCTTAAGCTAAGTATCCAACCTACTTTTTTAGTGTGCTCAAATAGAAAGCATTCAATGGATAATTGCTGTAGGTTAAGAATAAATACCTAGATGTTGGTGATTGGCCGTTACGTGGATGCTTCAATTTCGAATAACTTGTACTGTACAGTAATATTTCTATTACTATCATGGGCAATCACTATCTCCATGTCGTATTGTATACTACTGATGGAAACGATACTATTGCCTTACCCCCCCCATTGGATATCAATCATTCATTCTATAATATCACTATTCAATGTACAACCATCAAAGTTGATTAACCTGGACATTTCTTCCTCCAATGCATTTCGACCGACCGCCATGTTGGATAGGTTGAGAGTGCGAACGGACTTCTGACTACAGTCATCCGTACGTCCGTGCTTCCTATCAACGAGTATGCGCGATGGCGTTGAACTGCTAATGCAAATACTACGTGCCATACACTAGGCGTTATCAATGATAGAAGCGATCATTGGAAAAATGAGTGTGGTCTAATGTACAGTAGTTTAGGTATACTTCAGTACCATTATAATAGCGACTACTTTGTGCTCTGCAGTTACCGTATTCCACTCCACTTGACCGCTTTCATTTGCTTTTCAGGCTTGGGTAAGTCACGTGGTTCGCTGCAAGAACCAGTAGAGTGCACAGTGCAGTACAATTATCAGTAGTGCTACTGTAACATATTCAAGGGACAGTATTGTAGCAAGGGCTTTCCAAGGCAGCCGGTAAATGCCGTCATAGTAATGTAGTCATCATAGATTAGTAATATAGTCATCAATCTAGTCATCAATCTATGATGACTAGATTACCAGGGCAGCCGGTAAATGCCGTCATAGTAATGCAGTCATCATAGATTAGTAATAGAGTCATCAATCTAGTCATCAATCTATGATGACTAGATTACCAGGGCAGCCGGTAAATGCCGTCATAATAATATAGCCATCCAACTATGATGACTTTATTACTAGGGCTTTCTAGGGCAGCCGGTAAATGCCGTCATAGTAATATAGTCATCAAAGTTTGATGACTATATTACCAGGGCAGCCGGTAAATGCCGTCATAGTATTATAGTCATCAATCTATGATGACTATAATATAGTTATCAAACTATGATGACTATATTACCAAATATATATAGTCATCGTAGTTTGATGACTATATTACCAAATATATATAGTCATCGTAGTTGGATGACTATATTACCAAATATATATAGTCATCGTAGTTGGATGACTATATTACCAAATATATATAGTCATCATAGTTTGATGGCTATATTGCCAAATTTATATATAGTCATCGCAGTTGGATGACTATATTACCAAATATATATAGTCATCGTAGTTTGATGACTATATTACCATATATATATAGTCATCGTAGTTTGATGACTATATTACCAAATATATATAGCCATCATAGTTTGATGACTATACTACCAAATATATATAGTCATCGTAGTTGGATGACTATATTACCAAATATATATAGTCATCGTAGTTGGATGACTATATTACCAAATATACATAGTCATCATAGTTTGATGACTATATTACCAAATATATATAGTCATCATAGTTGGATGACTATATTACCAAATATATATAGTCATCATAGTTGGATGACTATATTACCAGGGCAGCCGGTAAATGCTGTCGTAGTATTATAATCATCAATCAATGAGGTCTAGAATAAAGTCATCAATCTATGATGACTATATTACCAGGGCTTTCCAGGGCAGCCGGTAAATGCCGTCATAGTAATATAGCCATCAAATAGGATGACTATATTACCCATCAAAATGGCTCAGCAACAGAACTCCAGTTGTGATGAAGAAGAATTGAAAGTCAGATCATCCTATTACACCGCCAAGAAACTGCTGCAGCTTCTGCTACTGCGCTGTACTGTCACGTACCTGAGCTGAGGTGTAGCGTCTGTACTATACGTTTACCTTGTGAGCAGTCCACCAATCAGTACTGGTGAAGTGAGTGTACAGTACCGTGTAGTCAACTGGCTATACAATACCGTGTCAATGCCGTCATAGTAAGGAGAGTCGTCAAACTAGCATGACTCTATTCCCCATCCAAAATGGCTCAGCAACACAACTTGAATTCTGATGAAGAACATTTCAAGTCAGATCATCACCAGTTACATAGCCAAGAAACTGCTGGAGCATCTGCTCAAGAAGGCATGGCAACTTGCTTAATTTGCCTTGGAATGGCTGGATCTGGTAAAACAACTTTTGTCCAGGTAGGGCTGCAATAGCAGCAATGTCCATCGCTCTAGACTCCTTTTGCTAGCTGTTAATGCCATGAGAATGCCAGTGTTAGGGATATTATCGACATAATATCAATGGATAATTTGTAGAGCAGGTTGTACGCAAATGAGAATGGAATGCATAGATCGATAGGATAGAAGTAAGCACGTAAAGGATTCCAATTGCTCTACATGCCGTAGAAAAGTACATTGTATTATCTACAAAAGGAGACTGCCAAGCCAAGTAGTTCCTCTAGATTTCGCTGGTACTCTCAGCGAGTGCTCCAATCATATTAACTTGCAGTTGCATTTTGATGCAACCCTCAACAGATCTACATTCAGCGGTAGCGTTCGTCTGTTGTCATTTTGTTTGTCATTAGTAAACCATTTCTATTCTAAATAGTTCGCTGATCTTCTCAATGAGAACTCGCATCCTATTCATTACAGTTGCATCTTGATACAAACCTCAACAGATCGACATTCACCGGTAATGTTTGTCTCTTGTCAACTTGTTAGTCATTCGTAAACCATTGACATTCGAAACATTTCGCTGATAGCCTCAGCCAGTACTCGCATCATATTAATTGCAATTGCATCTTGATAGAAACTTGAAGTGATATACAGTATCATTCGTCTATTGTCCCTTCCGCTTGTCATTAGTAAACTACAAGCAATTCATTCTGGATAAAATAATCACTGTGTTCACCATCTCTTGTTAAATAAATTAATTTTAAAGATGCTATTCAATTAAGTTAGATAAAAAACGCAACCGGTACGTACATATGCAGCGTCAGTAGTAAATGGTAACTAATTCCATCTATGTTTGTATTTTGCTTCCAAGCTGTATACTACTTTACATGCACTGTATAATGAGACTATAAAACACTTTCAATGACTATTTTTGAATAACACATGGACTACCGTAACGTATCTAAGATTGATGCAATCGGTATTATTCTCCATTTTAGTTATTGCTAAATTATGATATAGGTTATCTATCTGTATGGATAACCTGCATTAATTTCTGTCCATTGTCTGTATCATTCTGATTGCATTATTTTGTGATATATTAGAGAGTTAATGCGTACTTACATAGCCGTCAAACTCCGCCATATATTGTCAATCTGGATCCTGCTGTACATGAAGTCCCTTTTCCAGCTAATATAGGTTAGCTAAGCTAGACGAGATATAGCAAAGTATAATATTAACTGTCTCTGTCTGTTGACATATGCAGATATCCGGGACACTGTTAAATACAAAGAAGTTATGAAACAGTATCTTAACATGCTTCTCTGTTTGCAAATACTATAGTTATACTTGATTACTACTTTTTGTCCTCCTAATTTTTATGCCAAGGTAGCGATACTACCTCGTCTTATCAATACTTCAAATTCAATAAGCACGTAAATTTCTATTTGCCTTAGCTGTAATATCTCCTAGGTACGGACTAGGGCCCAATGGAGGAATCGTAACATCACTTAATTTATTTGCGACGCGATTTGATCAGGTAAAAATGATACTATAATGTTAAATTATAATTTACTTCTTTAGCTAGCTTTTTAAAATCTAGCCCCTATGAATTGCAATTAAAATGAAACACGTAACGATTATATAATTGCAATTAAAATGAAACACGTAACGATTATTTAATTTGCGATAATAGTCATGATACTCATTATTTAAACTTCATTTCTTGGGTAGGCAATTAAATTTATAGAAAAAAAGCAACACGACTATAAGTAAGGAATTTAAATTATGCAATATGAAGTGAATACATTATCTGAAATAGTCATCATTAATTTTATTAGATACGTACTATTTGATACTCCTGGTCAAATTGAAGTTTTTACTTGGTCAGCATCTGGTTCAATCATCACTGATTCGCTGGTGAATGCTAAATGCTTAATTTACGTTTTGATTAAGAAAGAAATAGCAAGTTGCAAACATTACATACTGCTATTGACAGCAATTCAATTTAACTTAACTTTTTTCTATACTTCAGGCATCAACCTGTCCCACTGTCATTGTTTATGTTATGGACACCTCTAGATGTGTAAGCCCCATTACTTTTATGTCCAATATGCTTTATGCTTGCAGGTGAATAACAGAATGGATAGATTACTGTTATCTTTAGCATTTATTCATCAATTTGACAATAAATATTTTCGTATTTTGCTATTTCAGTATATTATACAAATCAAGACTTCCATTTGTCTTAGTTATGAATAAAGTAAGAAATAAGTAACGCGTATAATGTTCCACCTTACTAATTATACGGTGCTTAAACATATCAATACTTGTGTACTAGTATATGACATTAACTTTTAACCTTAATCTCTTCAGATTGATATAGTGAGCCACGATTTTGCTATCGAGTGGATGACTGATTTTGAGTCATTTCAGCAAGCGGTTGATGAAGTAATTTTGCAAAGCATGTCATCAAAGATTTTAACTTAAGTAGCTGATATGCAGTTATTAACGTTACGGCCCCAATATTTTTCCTTGCAGGAAGGCTCTTATATGGCTAATTTGACTAGTTCTATGAATCTTGTTCTAGATGAATTCTATAATAATCTGAAGGTATTCACAATACGTATGTTACAACTTTTTACTAGTTGATTAGCACATTATTAACAACCTTCCTCTATAGACTGTTGGGGTTTCTGCTGTTACTGGTGAAGGCTTAGATGAATTTTTTACCGCTGTTGATAGTGCAAGAGAAGAATATCTAACGTAAGATGACTATATATTGACAGATCTTATTTGGAATTAACACCTATTCTTGAAATGAAATTATGTTTAATTTATCAGTCAATACAAGCCAGAATACGACAGACTTGTCGAGAAAAAGGTATTTCACATAAATTTACCACCGGTTTATGATATCTGATTAACATAATTTTTATCCTATTTTGAAAATCATTGTGCAGTGGTAGTAAATACAATCCTGACAAGATTTCAATTTATATGCTTACTATCTGACGCCTTATAGAATCAATTAAAGAGTGAGGAGCAACAAGAACAGTTACGAAAACTAAAAGATGACTTAAAAGATGCTGATGTAGTACCTATGAAAGCTAAGCCTGTCACTACTGATGACGTCTGTGGTGAGAAATTCTAAGATTTGTTTACTGGAATCAACAGATTAACTTACGGTTTTGTAAACTTAGTTAACATCTATGTTATACTCAAAAAAATATTTATCTGTATTATACAGAACCAACAATGAGAAAACGGCCTCATGTAACGTTTGCTGATCCAGACGACGCAGAAGATAACACCATGTCAACCGACGAAGGTTATATCCAGTTTATTTATTTTCATGTACCCGTAATCAATACGAAGTATAATATCCTACCGAAGTTCAATAATTATTATCAAATCAAATTTATAATTACAGATAATGAAAGGCCGCTCGAAGAGGAATCCTTTAAACGTTTCTTACGTCATTCGGACGACTAAATCTGTTTATCATGATTTTCATCAATACAATCTAGGCATATCATTAATTTTCTCTAAAGCCTAGTTGCGTTTGAAATATCGACAATGACTAGCCCAATTGCTGTCGTAAATAGTTCAGTAATCATAATAGTCGACCCGCAAGATAGAAATCACTCGAATCTATTCCATCACATATCTTTCAAAAGTGTATATAATCATTGATTTCTAGCCATAGGATACGACCATTCGATCTATGTGCGTAAACTGCATTCGACAACGATATGCCTGGAGCACGTAACGTATAACAATATTGAACGACACAAAATTTTCATTACCTAACAATGTGACTATTCATTTTCGAGTCAAATCCTATTTCATCTATTCCTGATTAAACTATAATTAATAAAATGCTACGGTTCTGAAATAACTAGAATTGCGTTTGCTTATAAGTTAATTTCCCTCGCAATATATATTAGCTGGCGGATATACTAGCGTGCGGCAAATCTCTATAAACTCACCACTGGTGACGAAACTCAACCAGAAATAGCACAATACACTGACACATACAATTCATTGATATTTAGAAGATTTATTCCACGTTACAGCAGTAAATTAGGGATAACAATAAACTAAGTACAACATACTTATGTAATGCCATAATAAATCAGTATCCACTGAAATACTACAGAACCTCTTATTACTGTCAAGAAAGCTAGGATGGCTCCGATTACTATCAAAAGTTTTATAATTCTAAATGTCTGATCATCGAAAGCCATAGTCTACAACATGCCGACAACTACGTTAAAATCTAGTTAAAGTGCAATACATGATATAATTTTTAACTATGCTGTAACCCACGTCAGAGAATTGTTCAAAGGCGATTAGGGTGACCACAGTAATCAAACATCGACAGAAATGGAGCTAGATTAGACTTCATTGCTGACGAGTCTCCAGTACTCTCCACTATTGCCAATGACCATTCTCAACAGTAACAAACTAATTTCGCGGAAAATCATTTCGAAATTAAACTAAACTTCTGTCAGTCATCATTTCCGGAAATTATAACAATGTAGGTGACGATTGAATTGAAGATTTTTCCTTTTCATTCATTGGTCTAAAATTTCTTCTCCAGTAGGGTCTCTATCTCTAGCACAATACACCTACAGAATTGTGTCTTTCAGTTCTCTTTTACAAGGAAGCCAGTGGATGGCGATACCAGTCATTGAGATATATTCCAATAACTTTGCCATGAATGATTCTCATCACATCTTCCAGTAATCCATACCAACAATCCCAGTATTACTTTTACGTTACCAGAGGACTATTGCATACAATCGAAATCATTTTCTGTCATAAAGTTGCATCATCAAGTTTATCCATACATCTTTACCATAAAGGTATACACCAAATTTGACAGAAATATTAAGTCCTTCAATTTCTGACAGCTTTTATCATTTATCACAAGTCAGAAACATAAATCATATTATATCTTTTATCCTATGCTATTTACAACGGCTTCAATTTTAAACTTCATCTTTCGTAAGGCATCAACCAATATTTTCATAAGTAGGAAATCGAATGAAGTATTTTAGTAAAGTTTAACCAAAAAAAAAATTCAGCCGTTGTTCGATTACGAAAACAACAAAAAATAAACTAGTTTTATCCAACAGCAGAGATTATAACAATAGGTTTGCAGTATGAACAAAGCTGTCTCCTCGCTCTTTCTACAAAGCGGTAATTTAAGAGAATGTTATGTATTACATTAGTTAAAGTAGACCAGCAAACGCTTAGTCTATACATTAACAGTGTAAACAAAGTATAGTGGCTTGAAAATTCGAGCACAACTGCCGCTGTTTGGTGGCAAATGCGGCTTAATAGATCTTTACAGTACATTACGGAAGAACATACAGTATAACATTACATAGCGACCAAACTTGTGAATTATTTAGTGTAGCTACTAAGGCTACGCATAATGAAGCTTTCGTAGCATAATAACAATTACATTATATATCATTTACATTACGTATCTACATACATACTTTGTACATGATTACATAATTATTTTTATAAATGAATTGAAGGTCTACTAAATAACGCACAAATAGATATCAAATTTAAAAGGAAAGTATTAACTCAGTGCGTTAGTAGGCTCTTGACAATCAAAATTTTGTAGTTTAGTATACTAAATACCGTAGTAATTTTAAAAAACGCAAGTATTACCAAAGATAAGATTAGAATACGAGAAATATTAAAACGTAATCCCAATTTTATAAGAGTTTCATCTTTATCAAATACTCTTGCGTGGAAAACAAAAAGAGTTGATCACTTCTTACTGGTCTGACATTTGAAATTCAGCTACATACAAACGCGCATCGACATTTTGTGGTATAGCTTTAATTGTCGTTGCAAGCTCTTCTTCTATTTGATAAAGACTACGTCGATCGTTTGGGGTTACAAGATTAATTGCTAATCCTAAGTGACCAAATCGTCCCGATCGTCCAATTCTGTGTAAATAAGTTTCCGAACTTATAGGGAAGTCGAAATTAATAACTACATTTACAGCTTGAATATCAATACCCCTTGTAAAAAGATCTGTGAGGAAAAAAGAAGATATTGCAAAATTAGGCATTCAGTAACGATAGTAAGAAATGTCTTTTTGCTTTAACTAATACCACCTACCAGTGCATACAAGGTTACGGCATTCTCCACGACGGAAATCGTGAAAAACCCGATTTCTATCGTGTTGACTCATTTGAGCATGAATATAAAAACAAGAGTATCCTAATTGTGTAATCTTTTTCGCAAGTAGTTCTACTCGCTGTACGGAATTACAGAATATGATGGATTGATTTATTTGCAGCTATCCAAAATAAAAAGGATCCACTTGTTATTTCGTTTATTATGTAAGAACGAGATATAACCAAATGACAATGTTACTAAATTTTAAAATAGACTGATGCTGATTACCTTTGCGAATAATGTATTCAGGCAGTGGACTTTCTGACGTTCATGAACATGAGCGTAATACTATGAAATCAAAGTTGACAAGGTAAGATAACTACTTCATACGATGACTCTAAAGCAGGCAAAAAGGAGCATTTATCGACTTCTCCCTTACCTGTGTAATACCTTTCAATGTTAGGTCGTCCATAAGATTAATCTCGAAAGCATTATGTAAGTGTCGATCCTGCCACAACAACAATTAACGACAAGATATAAACAATGATAGATTCAAAATATTCCAAAAAAGGAATACATTACAAGTAAAATTACGAAATAGCACCAAAAATTACCTTAAAGGAACATACTGAAACTGGGAAAGTAGCTGAATACATAAGTATCTGTCTTCTATCGGGGAGTAATCTAATTAATCCTTCCAAGTATTCATTAGAATCCATAGATAGCAGCTTATCTGCTTCATCCAGGACCAGAAGTTTACAGTTATTTAAATCAGCAATATTTCTACGGGCTAAATCGAACATGCGCCCAGGAGTTGCAACCATAACATGGACTATGATTTAATAACAACGACAAGCAGTGGTCACTGGTGCTGAATGGGAGACTACATGCAATCTAAACTGTGTCATACAAAGCCACTGTAGGCTAAAATTTGTAAAGAAAGGTACGGCATACCTGGATCATTTAAACGCATAATATCATCGCGGAGATTTGTACCACCAGTTGTTACCATAACATTTATTTGCATATGTTTACCAAGTTCTTTACAAATTTGACTAGTTTGCAAGGCTAATTCACGAGTCGGAACTAAGACAATCGCTATAAAGGAAACATGCTTTGAGTGCGATAGATGCATGCAGTTTCATTTCATATATTTGACCTAATTTCAATACAAGTACAACAAGAGCAATTTCAATGATAGCTATCGTTGTACACTTACATTGAACGACGTTCTTGTCTGGATCAGTTAGCTGTAATAATGGAATCAAGTAAGCACCAGTCTTGCCTGTCCCATTCTTTGCTCTCGCTATAATATCTTTACCAGAAACAGCGACGGGAATACTTTCTTCCTGAATTGGCGACGGTTTTTCAAATCCTTTCTCAAAGATTCCGATTAATAGGTCACGCTTGAGGCAGTAATCTTCAAAATCATTGCCTTTCGTATTTGTAACATCCTATGTAGTTTAGTGAGGGAGATGCATTAAGAGCGTCCTATTCCATTCATCAACGTGCTTTAAAGAACAACAATCCGCTACTGCATTTGGCGATAGTATGACAGGTAAGGTTTTACGAACAAAAGGAAAATAGAGCGTGCTTCGCTGCCATTCTACTTGCGTCAATAGCATAACTATATCAAAAATTGCTAAAACTATCTCCACTATGTTTTCAACTTGGCGCAATTATCACTGGATCGATTCTAATGAGTGTGTAAAATCCTAGGTGTAATGGATCAACAAAGGATTGACATAATAGTAGTATTACAGTACTAGGGAGATAGTTATTGCTAGTGAAAAATGCATTTTAAATTTCATTTTATTTCATAACAATCACGTCCTCAAGGCCAAAAGTCAATAATCCAAACAACGAACGACTAGAAATTTTGAATTACAGTCAAATGCTTTAGCGTCTGTACCGTACAGTACAGTCTACTGTACACTGTACACTGTACGCCCAGCACCACGGCATCACAGCAGGGGTGAGAAGAAAACGCTCGTGTCGACTCGTGTTCAAAGGCAGTGCAGTAACTACAGTACTGAAGGAGTGTGAAGAACTAGACAGGAAAAAAAGTGACTACGGTACCTATAACAGCAACTGCTGTACGGTACTCTGTATTGTATACTGTAAAAAACACCCTTGAAAGTTGAACTTACACTAGTTCTGATACGTTTGTCGGGAGCTGGACGATGTAGATTTTGTTTCCAGTCTTCACTGCAAAATAATTTGCCCAAAAAAAAAAAAAATTAATCATCAAGCAAGTCATAATATAAAAAGGAATTATCATGGTTATTTCTTTCTTAAAGGGTGTCTATTACCCTATTTTTATGTCGCGATCATTACTTGTAGACTGTACTTATTGGCAGTAGAGTCGTAACCGACCGATAGGATAGGCGATCTTTGCCTACGCTCTACATTTCACTGTCTACTTTTTCATACTATCCAGTACTGTTACTGTCCACTGTTTACGGTACTGTATCTTGACAAAGTTCTATTGGACTGGATAGCCAGAAGTAAGAGTGCTACTTATTATTAATATACAGTACATAGTTAGATGGTAACTCTTGAACAAATGAAAGCTTCTGCTTGTGTCCATTTCCAAAAAGAAGACTAAATTGTAATCTCTGTACTATGCTACTGTAGTAAATGATCAACTCCGCGTGTTACTTTCAGTCGCAAGTTGAAGACAAACATGAGTAGCGTAATGTTGCGTTTTGTGCATGAAACAGTATTGGATGGCACAGTCTATCTCTACAAATATCGATACGGTAGTAAATAACAAAATGTAGTACCAACCGCTGCAATTGACAGTTCAATGCCGCAACTCGAGTATCGTTTGCAATGACACTACCTATTTCTTTGGAATTCCATTCTAAACTATATATATAGCCTAGTACGAGTGTAGATATCCTTTTGCTAATCGTTCAGCAATACACTTTGTCGAATTATCCTTGACTAGTTTCCATTTGTTATTGACTGTACAGTATACAGTAGAAGGCGCATAAAAGTGCATGAAGTCACAGACTTCCAAGAAGAAGGCAATAGTCCAGACTTACGTTTTTTTCGAATTGGCATTCCTAACGTTGTTGGTTGCCGCACTAGGAGTACGATTGGTAGCAGTAGCCATTTATTCAGTTCATAGACTATTTTTCAAGTACGTATAACTAATAAAGTATCTTTTGGTTGAGATTCTTGACTGTAGATACAGTAGTGGAGATGGAAAATGATTCGACTTTGTCGCAGTTGTAGATTTCACAGAATGTGCCTCAAAATGACAGGGCTAATGAAAGTAGAAGGTCTCTGTACAGTACATAACAGCAATTTGTACTCATCTGCACGGTATACTTTCTCTACACTGTACAGTACAGTACAGTATACGGTAGTGTTTGATGTACTGTAGAGTATATACTGTAGCGCAGCGCGTCGTGGTAAAAGAAAAAAGAAAAAAAATGCGTGATACAGTATATTGTACTGTACAGTACGTATAATGCACTACAGTACTGTACAGTACTGTACTAGTATGTAACAGTAGGACATGGGTCACGAGGCACTGACTGTGAACGATGGTGACACCGTCTGACTGTACTGTACACTCCTGTACACTGTACACTGTACGATGTGAACCAGTTCTCTTTAGAGTGCTATTAGGCAAAATAAATTGTAGTCAAGCTGCAAAATTTGCCTCAAATTCTATACATACAGATATTCAGCTTTATATTGGTATAATTTTTGTTCCGTTTTTATTCACTCTCGTGATTTTAGGGCACCTTAAAGTACTGTACTCTGATTGGAACTGGTTTACACTGTACAGTGTACAGTACTGTACGCTACACGGAAGTACGCTGGGCCCATAGGAGACATCTATTGGAAGGTCCCAGTCATGGACTTCTACAGTACAGTACGGTACGTTATTAATCTCTCTGGATTTAACGATGGTGACACACTGACACCGTCTGACTGTACAGTACTGTACTGTACACTGTACACTGTAAAGTACTGTACTGTACTGTACAGCCACACGGAAGTACGCTGGGCCCATAGGAGATGTCTATTGGAAGGTCCCACTCATGGACTACTACATTATTAATCCCTCTGGGATTTACCGTAGTTCGGAGCGTAGGCTCACACCATGGTTTCACACTTATTTCACTTCACCCTTTTACTTGAGTCAACGTCAAGTCATTGTCAACAGTAGAATCTGACCAATGAATGTTGCTGTCGGATTGTACTGTACACTAAAATGTACAGTACCGTACTGTACTGTACAGTACGCTGAAAAATCCAAAAGCCTGACCACGGTACAGTATGTACAGTACACTGTACTGTACTGGACAGTACATTGTACAGTACCGCACAGTACGTACGGAAAAGACGTCACATGCTAGTCACAGTCATTCATCGAAAATCACACCTCACATACAGGACCGTCAACCATACCGAACGTCTTGCTCAGACCCCACCGCACAGTACAGTACTATTTATCCTGTACTGTACCGTACAGTATCATGTACGGTGTACATGTGAAGCCGCGTCAGTGCCGATGAAGTTGAGACTTACTGGAATTGATAATGAATTCTATATTAATTTACAATACTGTACTGTATAATGTCATCGATCCTGTATACAGTCTTGTCAAAGAGTGGAAGGATAAACGACAAGTATTCGCATTGGCAAGAGCCTGCATTAAATTGTACAACTTTGAGTCCGTTCCATTTCTTACATATTTCTTTTAGGAAAGAAGCGATCACCTTTCATCCCAAGGAAGTCATTGGGTAGTAGATCTTGATTAAATCCAACCAGTGGTACAGATATCCATAACATCGCTTTTGCCTTGTTGAGGTACTACATATCAATATGCCACGACGGCGTCAGCTAATCGATTGATTTAATGCTGTTAACGGATTGAAATAATGATGATGATGACGATGATCATGAAAATAATTTATTTATCTTTTTTTTTATCAGCTTTCAAACAGTTTCCTATCAAGTCATGGTCAGTTTAGGCGACGATAAAAAGCTCGGGGTAGGCACTTATCGACTAAATACAACTACTCTACCTGTACAGTCTACAGTAGAGCTCGAGATGAGCCAACTTCTTGTGCACATCAACGCTTGTTAATACTGTACAACTTGTACAGTTGTACAACAATTTTCAATGAAATGACAACATCAATGCAACTGCTCTTGATGCCAACTTATTCATATTGTACCTTTTAGATTCATGTTCATCTCGCCTTCTGCTATCATTATAGCCTTATAGGATTGTTACTACAATATCCATATTCTACATTAGCTCATACATATTTCATCATGAAAGATTTCCCTTTGATGATTCCATTTTCCGATAGCATTGGCTGTGTACATTTGATATGCCTACAGTTAATTGGTGAATGTACCCCAACTGTCTTAACCGTGGAGCTAGTAAAACGAGTTGGATTACTAAAAACTATTTCACTTCAGTTGATAAATATTCATGTTGAAATCAGAAAGATCACAAAAGGTGTTAAAATAACCTGTGCTATAGGAGACTGCTAGTCGTTAGTATGTGCCAATCTGACTCATACAGTACAGTACAGTAGCGCGCTAGAGTAATAACATTGAAGCGAAAGCTTTACTCTAAATTCAACTTTACCAATAGAACACAGCAGGTAGAAAAGTCTATTAGTTAGGGATGACGTAAACAGTAAAATTTGTACGCCTACGAATGCATCAGCGTGCGATATATCGCGGTGGACTACATCAATATTTGTTGCTCCTTGCTACTGGAGTTGTAACGGTAGTAGCATCATGAAACTGGATCAAATCACGATCATTGGAGATGATTATCTACTTGCCATCAATCAGTGTATGAGCATTGAATCGATCTTATCAATCCCTTCCTAGATTAAGAGAGACAAGATCGATGAAATACGGTAATGTAATAAGCTGTCCATCCGTCATCACGGTCAGATAATCCTGCCATTTTTATGTTTTGACACTACATGACAGTACTGTACTCGTAAACAAATTTTAGATCAATTCATACATTACTTGAGAAGAATCTAGAAGTGCTCGCTTCATTCAAGATTGCATATATTCTGTCCGATGATAACATTGCTTGTTAATATAGCAGATATTAGTGGCTTTTGAAATCAGATCAATTTATTCGTATTTGATGGTAAATGTGAGCGTCCCTATTCGTATGGCTCTATCGTAACCCTTCAATAAATGAGTTATGAAACTCTGCTGTACGTGTTGCAAAATGCTACTGTTGTTAAATGCAGCTATATATGCATAAAGACCTATGATAGAAAATATGTATGCCGGGATATCGAGATAACTTTACCATAGACCTGATCGTCATCACTTTCATCGCAGCTATCCAACTGTAAACTTTTGTAAGGACCCTACATAATGAAAATTTATTTTATCCATTATCTAGGGATACTTTTTTGATGCTGATGCTGATGCTGGACATCTATCTGCCGATATTACTGAAGTTAACGCTGAAAGTATGTTAAGTTCAGCTGATACCGCAGTTTTGACAACTCCACATCAACGATTCAGCACGTTACCTACTGTTTGGTTAATGGTACTTGAAGGATTATTACTGGTAAGAAGAACATGAAAAGATTTAAAATCTAGCTGTAGTAATTAATACATAGAACTAATTAGAATTATACGATAAGCTGCAACACTCAAATTGCCAGTGTCGCACGAAAGCTAGTAATACTTATTACTCAACCGACCATGATTTCATCTTAGATTATATTTGAAGTTGCGGTATTCGCATTTCCATTCGCGCTTACCAAAAAAATAACACGCGGTCATTACCCGCAGTTTAGTTTACTCGCAATGTTTCACTCTGGCTTATGGTTAATTGTTGCCATCATCGATGGTACACTACAGTTTTATCATCGATTGTCTCGCAATCATGGTTATCTTAAATGTTACAGAAAAACTAGGCACATTAGACGAGTTCCTTTCTACTGTTTATCTACTGGTAAGGCAGTATTAGCTATGTATATATATATTCATTAATTTTCTTATCAAAATAAATTTCGTACAAAATGTGACATGCTATCAGTATTAATGCTTAGAAATGTTGGACAAAATTATTTAGGTAATGCTGCAATGTTGCTAATGCTTGGCATATATGATACAGTGCCTACCAAAGTATTGAAACCTTATCATTATGTAGAAATTTTTGCTTCCATTGAAGTTGCAGTGTGTTTACCATGTATTATCTATTACATAGGTAAGAAGCTCAATTGTTAATTGCCAGTGTATTATTAGGCTATATACTTTGATAAATATCGAAAGTAACTTGAAGTCCAAATTATTACCATTGCACTGCTTTAATAGTCTACCGGAAGCATGCCATTTTTGTATTTAATGCCTTCAACCCTATTTAATAGCGATCGCTTTTAAATCTGAATTTCTTTATGTCAAAAATTGCAATTCAAGTTGATTCATTTTCATCGTAAAATTAGCTAGAAATGATAATATTGTGTGGTAATGAGAATTTTTTGAACAAAGTGTAACCTTAGGCTGACCTAATTTCTATCCTTATTATTAGTTTATGTCGCCAAATTTAACAAACGCCGGCCATTTCCAGACCTTGACGAAGAAAATGTTTTAAATTGTGGTGCACCGTACAATTCCGAAATTATTACCGGAGCTAGGTAAATTATCTAAATATTGATGTACAGTACATTACCTGTTGAAGATAATCACTAAATTATGCCTGTTTTTAAATTTGTGTTCAGAGTGTGGTTGTTGGATTGCTTTGTTATTTAAAATATGTAGTCAATCTTATATTCGAAGAAAAGTATAATTTTATTAACCTTCAAATCTTTGTTTTATAATTTACGTTAGCAGAGATGCAGATTATCTGGATGATATCCTAGAAAAGCAAGCTGATATGATTCGGTACTTGCAACAACACAATATTAAACTGGGAAAAAGACTGTTGAAACTGTCACATAGGAGCAATATAGCCGAATCACCGGTACCTATACAAAATGTATAGTAGCTATAGTTCTAATATGTATCAGTGATATCTTGAAAGTCAAAGCTTGAAACAATAACTATGTGTTTTGACCGTGACTTTTCGAAACAGTCTTAATTCATTTGCAATATAATACGGTGTTGTATATTATTGCATGTAATGAACACTCTAAAAATTTCCATGTTGTAACGATACCACTTTTCTAAATTTACCATAGTGAAAATGTGTGTATATATATATATATATATACTGTATAATATACTATATTTACGATACAATGGACTCCATGTAACTTACATAAAGCGCCTTACAAATTTCTAATGATAAATCTTGAATGCAGAAATTAGTGAAAATTGATAGAGCTAGTAGTATTTTGATATAATATCAAATTTTAATATTTATATCATGAAAAATGTAGTCTAATAGTAGATATTGTACAATTTTTACCTTGATACTGACAATTTCGGATCGTTATCATCGATAACGATTAGATTTAATGGTCAGTTTATCGTATAAATATGATGTAAATCTACCTACGCGTACAATGGTGTATATATTGGAAGATATGGACACATCGAAATATAAGCTTAAAATGATATTATTAATGTTTACTATTATTCCTTTTATACAATCGAATCTAGATAATTTGTGCAATAATACATCGAATGATATATGTATGTAGTTCAATAAATTACCGACTTATACTCCTAATTAGGGCTAGCTTAACAAATTTCTATTGAAATTTACTTTATAACTCCTCTACAAGCTTTCTGAATCTCGGTGCTTTATTATGCATAACGTCTTCTACTTTTCTCTTGAGACCTTCATGTTGATTTAGTAATAATTTCAGGTTATCTGAAGTATTTCAACACAACATCAATTAATAGATCAAATGATGGCGTTATATTTGCAAGTTAAGCCAATTTGCGCTGCTGTACATAATAACAAAATTAAATATGAACCTCGTTCGAGCAAAATAGTAGTCGCTATGGACATGAAATCATTCGATCTTTTTGACGCCCACGAAAGATAGAAGTAGATTTTCTTCTTAGCATACCAAAGGATTTTACTAGTAATAATACCATTATTGATTGCAGTAGATGCTAAGGTTATAGAGCGGAGATACAGTCAGTACTCATCGTCAAATTTATAACTGCTTCAAACAGTGTGATATGTAAAAGCAAACATTTACCATTAGTACCGTTGGTTAAAGTTTTCCTTGCAATCTCGGACAGTCGGTATAAATCAGATAAAGCAAGCATAGTAAAAGAACATTTTCCATTTTCCGTCATTTGTTGCTTACTTAAAATATCATGTACGTCATCTATGATTGCCATTGAGAATTCAGCTGAATTATATATAACCTTATTCTAAAAAGTTAAGAGTCACCAATTTATTTCTATTGATATAAGATCAAGTCGTATACCTGCAGTGTAATAACTTTGCGTAGAAAGTATTATTTAACTCACGTTTTCAACAGCTCGTATCGCGTAATGAAGCGCTGATGTTGCTTCTTGGTACACAGCATTTTCTTTCAGTACATTACTGATTTGAAAAATGACCTAAAATGATTGCAATACGTATAATGTGATATCTATACAGTACGACTCAATTGTTTAGAACTAGTCGAGCTTCATTCATTCTTTTGGTACCTGAATGCTTTCCAATGGATTATCAAAGTGACCACCGTTAAATAGGCGACAAGTATAAGCGTATGAATATCTGATATTTTTGTTAATTCTTATATCCTCAAAACAGTTGCAGTACTTATCCATGAACGTAGCCATAATAGCATATCAAGTTTAATAGAAAGTTATTACAAAGATGACAAGATAAAAAGATACAATATATTTATCAGGTTATACTGTATTTCTTTCGCAGCGGGTACCTGATGATGAAAGAAAATAGTTCAGTTCTCAGCTATATTAATGGAGCTAAATATGATTATTCTATATTCCTATGAAATTATCATAGTATACAGTACGAATATGTAATGCGTAATCTATAGCTTGCATACACTGCCAATTGATTCTGGACTTAAAAAATCTCGATGAAGTTTTGGTAAAAGACCATTTTGCTTCACTTGCGATTTTCCATCATCGTCGTTATCGACAACCTTGATTCTCTCACCCTTTTATTATAAAATAATACGTTAAAAGATGTTTAAAGTTGCCTATTACACCACGATTTACGGTAAATTTACAAATTTAAGGTAATACCTTTGCTACATTAGTTCGCCACCACGGTTGCCACAACGATATTAATCTACTTATGTTGCCATTAGTAAGACATTGCTCAAAGTCTTGCTTCTCTTTTTCGCTCAACTTTTCCCAGACTACATTGAGATCTTTGTCTATATGCGATATAGTTAAAAGCATTATCATATTATACTGGTGAAAAATTTCATTCAGTCTTTAAAGATACCATACCTAGGTTTAAATCTGACAATCTTTCAGATAGGGATAAACCATCCGAGTCCTCTAATGATCATAGTTGATGGTTTCGGTTTAATATATAGCCATTATTACATCATTTTGAAATTATCGAACGATAGTTCTTTTACAACGTATTACTCATAGTTAGAGGAGATGTCCCATAATTGTAATTTACGAAGAAATAGACTAAGCATGGTTGATGAATATGTATGTATGCATACCCTCGTGCATAGATTCACTTTCATTGAGCCTTTGCAGAATATTGAGAATTTTTTCTTTGTCATCTTGACTGTAACATATAGAAAGACACAAATTAGCAAGTTGAAAGTTTATATCATTCTAAATGTATGAATAGTACACTGTTGCAAATTATTTCTTCAAAATGAAGATACAGTGATATACGAGTATTATTGTATGATGTTATGAAGGTTCACCTAGCACGATTATTTTTTAACTCTTCCATAACATGATCCTTATAAAATACTTCAGAACATTGTTGGTGCTTCTATCATTTTATGCAGATAAGAGATACAATTTAGTTAGCGCCCTAATATGGCCATATATGGTATACTTTAACAGCTTATTTGACCGCTAATAGGACTTTCTGATACAGTCATCAAATTCATTTGCATTTCGATCAATTTTCAGAAATGCTTGTCTGTAAGAGCATTTCTAATACTGTAGTTTAGATATATTGTGAGCTTTAAAAGACGCGTATCTATCTTTACCACAGGTTATAGTAAAGTCCTGGCATTTTACCTGGCATTTATAGCATTGTAATGAACAGTAATTGATGTTACATCGCGGGCATGTGTAACGAGAATAACATTTCCTGCACCTATTTCAATCAATGATATATCCATTATTCACAGTATAATAGAAGCGTTGACATAAAATGATTTCAAAAGTCTTTCGTTTAAGGATAATCTAGCCGCCTAAGCACATTTTGCCAAGAATAATTATTTCACAAAGGTCCATTTCACTGTATACATACTACCTGAGCATTATGATTTCCAATCATAATGCACTATACAAGGAATACGTCGAGCTCTATTCTGACGAGCATTTCTATTCAATGGACAACACGCTACACTATGCAAAGAAATACATCGAGCTCTATTCTTACGAGTATTTATATTGACTGGACAACACGCTACACTAACTTGCATACTACAGTAGACTACAGTCCATGACTGCATTAAGCTAGTGTACAATAATGATACTGCAGATGCTTAAGCTATTCTGAAAGTTAAATTAGGTCCATTTGTACAGTAAGTAAGAAATAACCAAGCCAGTTATCTTACAGTTCGCAAATTCGATCCTGTTTACCAATGGAGCCTTCGGTTTCGGTGATTTTAATATCATCCATGGTACTTATTGATCAAGGCAACTGTTCTGAATGATAATGATATACACACAGTATACTCTAGCTCATAGTATTCAAAAAGGAGAGCTAAATTGTATCGTAATTACAGTTTACAGGCTAGCACAATCCATGGGCATCAAGAAAATGGAATAAGTTGCAATGGTTGGCGATGCAACGCCATGTCTTCGCGTGCTAGTAAAACCTCAGCATCAATGGCTGGAACATTCACTGCAAAATACGTCAGCAAGGTGAATCAGTCTGTCCGTCAGTCATGCCGAAATCCGTGCCCGACTCCTCCTGTTCCAGTATTAACAGTATTAAGGCTGATCAACGATTTTCATACCGACAGACATCTCATGGACAATTGGACATGGACTACTGTACCGGACTTTTATTAGTGCTCCCAACGCTGTGAGCCAGACATTGCGGATCAGATATACTGTACAGTACAGTACAGTATACTCAATATACAATATACTGGTAGATTGTATCATGGACTACTCGCAGAAGGAGAAGGGTCTTCTTCGATTAGTCCATGATTGTACACTTCATGTACAATACAGTGTACTACTGACTGATAAAAGTGTGTTTTTTTTTTTTCTAGTAGTCCTAGTAGTCCTTGACGTTCATCATCGCAAAATCCGATACATTGGAACATGCACTGGGTGAATGATGATGCAGTTATTGTACTGCACATTTGCATTCAACAATACTGTCCAGACTTGTCTAGTACAGTATAGTATCACGCCATAGAAGGGAAGTTTCTGTTCAGATTTTGTTACTCCATGGTACAAGTACTGTACAGTGGAGTACAAGAACTTGTCCATTTTTGCGCAAAATGAACAAGTCCATCATCTAGTCGGTACAAGTACTGTACAGTACAGTAAAAGAACTTGTCCATTTTGCGCAAAAATGGACAAGTTGATCATCTAGTCGGTACAAGAACGGAGGGACTACTGTCTCAGAAGTCGGACAGAAATTGGACAGTACAGTACAGTACTGTACAGTACCGTACAGTACGGCACTGTACACTGTAAAGGGGAACTTTACTGTACTGTGCTGGAATCCACAGTGCACAGTGCAGTCCAGGTAAGAGAAAACACTACTGTACAGTACACAGTCCGGTACTACACTGTAGCAGAGATTATTTGCTCGCAGCAATTCTTTTACGCATGTGTAAATCTGCTACGTTTAGCGTAACACGAGGAAGCAAACCTCATCTCGGCCTTTTTTCTAGTTCGGTGGTTCTGCGAGGAGATCTGTAGTTATGGTAAGCCATTTTTTTTCAATCTTTTATGCCATCCAACGCCTTCAACTTGATACTATTCTTAATTAAAGCTCGTTATACAACATGAATTCAATATTGAGTATCAGGGGTATAGTTCCATGTCTTATTCTGTTCATTTTGTGGATAAATGTACAGTATATTCATCCTTGAATATGGTGTGCCCTAGTCCTTTTCGTGGATGGCTTTATACTGATTGTAATTCTTGCACCTACTGGGATGCTTTCTCTGGCAATAATGAATTCTAAAATGCAAGAAAGCCAACCTAAACTTACTCTTGACAAATACTAGTATGATTAGTAGTGAAATAACACAGTCAGTTTTAGAAAACTCATTTTAAGGACATTTTTCATCCTTTCCATGCGAAAAAACGGATGAGCTGACTGTCCAGTTCTCAGTATACTCGTACTTTAGTTCACGTATCCCCCCCCCCCCAATCAAAGATAGTCTTAGAAAGTACAATGTTGCCTTCTTATTACGTTATGTTGAAATGATGAACAGTTTATTCCTGAATGCATATTTCCTATCATAGATGTAGTCCACGCTTTATTTTTATGTGCTTGTACCTGTACTATATTTTGTCATGGGAATGGTAATATGCAAAAAGTCAAAGTGATTCTTTTTCTGTTATACCATCGTTTAGCCTCCAAAAAAGCCGATAAAGAGTAAGGATCAAAAGGCCAAAGCTGCGTCTGGTGGTGGAAAAGCCAAAAAGAAGGTATATTCATAATTGTACTGATCCATTCTCAATATGACTGTATCGATGTATTTCCTGATGCACACAGAGTAAACGATTGGGACACCAGTCCTTCTATAAAAGTTGTACTATACAGTACTGTATTTTCTAGTTGCTAGTATCGGTAATAATTATTCGCGGATAACTACTGCGATATTCAAGTTGAAACAAGAAAGTGATGTACAGTAGTCAGATGTCATGTAAGGTAATGCAGTAACTCATTTATATCTCCTGGACATAAAGTTTCTACTGCAGTAAATGGAATTCTTACATTGATTAGTTAACGATTTAGTCGTTACAGTATCACAACGTGGAATATTTGAGCTAGTAATGAACTTGAACAAATCGTGAGATTAATTTACTTCTGTTATGTTTCCTTCTATTTGTAGAAATGGTCAAAAGTTAAAGCTCGCGATAAGCTGAACAACTTGGTATTATTCGACAAGGCTACCTACGACAAGCTTTACAAGGAAATTCCTAGTTACAAACTTATTACTCCATCTGTCGTATCAGAAAGACTGAAAATACGTATTTCATTGGCTAAGCGTGCCTTGCAGGAATTACAACAGAAAGGACTAATCAAAGTTATAGACAAACACCACGCACAAGTCATTTACACTCGTGCAACTAAGGCATCTTAGAAATTATGTTGTATGCGAAACCAATCTTGTATAATTTTTAAGGAATCGATGTTGTAGCTATCGCTAAAGGAACTGAATAAAAAATAGAAGTTCTTATAAAGTAGCGCACAATGCAGCGTTTCTTATTCTTTGATAAAGCGACAGAAATAGCAAATAAGTATCCACATATTTCAATGGTGCTGAAGGTCTGAATTACCTCTGACTACGAGAGGATCGCTCGCAACCATGTTTTTGCATTGCGTATTTAGCACATTAATGGCCAAACCGCTACAGTACTGTAGAATTTTCCATCGTTATTTTTCATCATTTGTTGCGTAGAAGCATCATCGCTCAATATTGCAGTCACGGTATAGGAAATGGAGATCAACATTAATCCAAAATGTACCGCCACAGTAACTGTGTGGTATACTGTACAGACATGAGTAATAAATAATTGAACGGGCTAACTACAGTGTTAACTGTAAATTAAGTTTCAGAAATTCTTTTTCGATCTGTCACTGACTAACGTCAAGCACTAGACGAAGGCAAAATCAAGTCACAACATCACATTTTTCATTTTGATGGCCATGACTATAACGGTAGAAGAAAAAATACATCCATCGCCATAGTCACGAAAGTCATGATAATACTCGTATCGTAACACAGAAATAAGAATAAACTTTCAAGTTTCAACGCTAAGCCTCAGGAGAGACCTATCATCATGGCGGCGCCAAAAGGAAAAGATATCGATGACAAATGTAGTGATTCTATTTTATCTAGCGAAATGAACCTAAACTTGTCCACTAATTAGTGCATGAGATAAACAGATTTTTAAATCTCAAATACCGCCACCATGTCTGGTACAGTTTAGAATTTCTCTGTCTAAATGTGCTAACACTGTACAAAACGATCGAAAACTTGCAGCTAGAGGTCTTCATGGTCTGGTCCAGGCCAGACCATGAAGATCTCTACATCTATCGTCAAGGCGGCGGTAAAAGAAAAAGATACCGATGGCAATTTAAATTTTCTATTTTGTGTAGCGAAACGATAAGTAACTTATCCACCAGTGAGGTAGACAGATTTTAAATCTCAGACACGACGTCTGGTACAGTTTAGAATTTTTTGTCGGTTACCTCCATCTATGTTGCCTATCAGGACAGTGATATCCTTTATCATTTATTCTCGTCACAGGAGTATGAATAACAATTTTGTTTTTATTTTCTCATATAAAAGATACCGACAGGCTCGTCAACAGCGACAATTCCAATAATGTAAATTAAGACAACCACTAAAGAGAGATATGACAGTAACCAATTTCAATAAAGTTATTCATATTTATTCCGTAAATTGCGAGTATTTCCGACAACAGCGATGGACCCAGCGTGAAAATCAAGTGCTATCCTGGGGCTGGGCTATTCTAGACGATCTAATTCGATTCCTAGGTCAACGCTAGTTGTTTTCCTTTCATAATAATTAATAAATCGTCACTGCCCAAAATTATTCAATCCAATAAAGAAATAACAAAACCTGTGCCCGCAACATTTTCCTAAACAACTACCATCTATTGATATTGGGTAATTTTCCTTTTGTACGCAATATGCGGGCGAAAATGCAATTTTTTTTGGGGGGGGGGGGAATTTAACTTCAGCTTAAGAGTCTCATAATTAAACTAATTTTTCCAATAATAAAGCATCAGATAAATTTCTTTGCTTATGATAAATAATATCGGCAAGATAAGATCAATATTTTGCAACGATAACTCATATCGTCATAGTTTTAATATCTTGTAGTGTCCAGTATGCATTAATACCGTAGTTATATTGCCACTGTACTTACTGTCAATCTTCGAAAAAACTGCAGATAAGTTGATAGCGTTTGCGGTGGATATTAACTCAGTCAATATTTGTAGAATTTGTGATGAAATGTATCAGGTATACACCAAGAGTGTACACTTTCACATCGAAATGTGTCTACGATTTTGAAACTAGCGATAAATTACAAGGATAGCAAGTCCATTAATTAATTAATTAACAGTTATTCCCAGAAAGGTTTAAATTGCGATATACAGTACAGCAAAAATTCCGTACTGTACTTATGAATGTTCGTATGGCCCAAGATATCAATTGCTAGATTAGATAGTTACGATCAGCCATTCTACAAGGCATTACCATGGATATTAGCCATCAACTAATGGAAGAGAAAAGTTGATTTCATCTCCATTTTGGAAGCATTGTAGTACATTTTAGAGTACTTTTTCTTACCCCTTTCATTTTATAGAGTTGTTTTCTTTTGTCAATTCTAGTCAACATTATCATAGCATGATGGACAACAGATGTAATTAAAGTTAGCGTAGTTAAAAACTTCCATTTTAATGACTCTAGAGAGATTCAATATTGAACAACGTTCAACAAGTGCATTGGAAAAATCAGAATTCGTTCCATTAGCTTAAATCTCGATCCACTGTCTGTCTTACAGTATATTAATCCTATAATTTGGATGTTTACGTATAAATAGGCCAATACATGCCAAGGGAAAATATCTTATTTATAACTTATTTTTTTCCACGAATCAATAACTAATCAACAACGAAATTACCACAGTACAGTCAGTATGCTAATACTCTACATCCATGTTATCCAATAACTGTAATTAATTAGAGCATCCTTTAAAGTTTATTATCATTGGTATTTATTTATTATTATTTATTTTTATTTATTTCGATCATTAACTTTAATGTACTACTTTCTCCTAGGACGATTTGTATGGACTGCCACCACTATAAATGCACAGCACAGGACATTCTAGTCGATGGTATTCATCAATAATGCAATTAAATTGAAAATTTGATCAGCGTTGATGCCAGTAAACTATAGTAAACAACGCCTACTTGGCAGCCTTCTCTTCGGGGCAGACTTTTCATATCAAAAACAAATGGTCTGGTACTAGAATGGAACGCGCTAATTCATTTTCTTCTATCGTAGAGGTTTCGAGTTGTGTTTAATCGTACCAAGTGATCTGTACTGTAACGGACTTGATCTCAGCAAAGTCATAAATAACAAGAAAGATCCACGCCATCAAGCCTTTCCCTTCATGTTGATAACGTTGATCAGTTAAACTACAGGTAGCTAGCTGTCAACTTAAATGATTGAAAGTTTCCGCTTTTGGTTATCCATCCTATCTCGTCTTTGGGCAAACGTCTACAGAATTGCTGGCAATTATCAGGCAGTGATTGGTACGAATACAGTAAAACCTCGTGGATATCTGGCTCTTTACCTGGATTATTAGTCGTGATAATTCATCCTTTTTGCGCTTGCTATTGAATGCTATATTTGCACTTGGCAAATTCTCCAAGGTAAAGATTTCTATTAGGATATAAACAGATGTCCTATTTTACTGTTACAATATTTTAACAACTCATGTCCAAAGTGACCAACAAGAATTGACTATGACAGATATGAATACTTATAGAGGCAAATGTATATACGTTGATGCGATTTATAGCATAGCTGCATAGGCGATGCATGGTAAAATAGATGAGGACACAGTCGCCATTGTGATCAATAACAAAATTCTTTGATGTGATAATGGAATGCAAAAGTGATACCAATTTCTGCTTAGCTCCATTACTTTGACTAGTTATCACTTTGATCACAGCATAATATCTAAAATATCAAGCTAGGAAAATCTTGTCATTTTCTCCTTTTAATATTGGTCAGATTCTGCTGCAAGGTTTCAACTTGTTCTCTACAATTTTTTGCACTTTTTTTTAACATCTAGATTATGGCCGGTAACCAATCCATGGCTAGGATGGAAAGAATAGAAAATTGCAATTGTTGCAAAAGTATGCTAGAAAATTTACTTGCGACCAATTTAAAAATGTGGCTAGCTAAAGTTAAAGCAGGCTCAAAGTGTTACTCAAGTTTTGAAGGAATTTACGATGATACCAAGTTGATGAATGCACTTTTCGATTGTTACGGCCAGTTAAAATTTTGCCGAGAATGTGTGATATTATACCTCAATATTTCGCCAACCACATTGAAAAAGATGCAAGATTACGTCAAAAATAATCCATGCCCTTATCGTTTTCGTATTAAAAATAAAATTCGATCAGCGCATTATAAATTACCAGCAAAAAGGGACTTTTTCGACTATATTATTAAGAATCGACGACCCAATACCCAATATGATAAAGCTGGGGCTCCTATGTTTTATTTAGATAATCGCTTTGAATGTATCCGTTTACCTTCAGCATCCGATCGTCAATTTATTAAAAAAGCTGAAAAATCACTGGTCTGGCATTTCAATATTGAACAATTGCGACATAATCGCCAAACTATTTCCAGTCGTACAGCTCATAATTGGATCAAGAGTGAATTTCCTCATACTACCTTGTCACCAACGCAATCATGGTTGTGCTCCGATTGCAAGAAACTGCGCAAGAAAGAAATTGCTCGCATTAAAAGTAATAATAATAATAAAAAGAACGATGATAGCCCTGATCCTGTTGTCCAGCTAGAACAGGTTCAAGAACAGCAAAATTCTAACCTTCAACAAACTCCAGTATCCAATGGCTATCCGTTGATGATCAAAGAAGAAGTGAACGATGGTAACATTCTCTCACCCTACCGTCATCAAGAACTGCAACAACTGCAACAGCCTACTCAAGTCAATAATAATAATAATAATTGTTCTCTTATTATTCAACATCGCATCGCTTCTAATCAAGCTATGGATGCTTACAACAGTCTGTGTGTTCAATGCCAACTAAGTTGGGCTGGTATCCAACAAAGTCTTGTGTTATTTCAACAACAATTTGAACAAATCGCTACCGATGAAAACGTTCAAGATGTTGCTCATATCATGAAATTAGGCCAAATGAAAGATGAATATAAAGCCACTATTGATTGCGATTTTCAAACTAGTAAAAGTTTACCCCACTATGGATTTAGCCGTCAATTGGACGAGAACGATCATCATCAACATACTCTTCAAGAAGCAACTCACCGCTATGCACTTTTTAATATTAAAGAACATGGCCTTGATCAACGGCATATCTATATTTGTGGTGATGATAGCGAATCGATTACACACCGATGCGATTATATTCTCTCTTTTCTGGACGACTATATCAAGTATCATTTACCAACATGGATAAAAAATTTAGTCATTATTACCAATCGTGACAATCGAAGTCCAACTTTCATCAATTGGTTTATTAATTTAACTAAATTTGGCCATTTTCGTTTTATTCAATTAGTGTTTACTCATCCAGGACATGGTGGTATAGCTACAGAATTAATGTCAATGCAATTTGCTCATAAATTCTACGGTCGTGATGTTCAAGATGTAGGCGATTTAGCTCATTTAGCTAAAGAATTTGGTATCGCCCATGTATTAGATGGTAATGGCATCTACGTATGGAAACAATTACTCTCCAGCTATGGAGAGGGAGCTTGTAATGGTTTTAATTATAACGATGATGTGTATTATATCTACTGGAAAGGTGAACAAACGCAAGTTAGTCATTTCTCCTTTGCTAACGTTAATGCTACTCAAATAGATCATTATCAACATGTACCTCCAGTACAGCATGCAGCTAGTCATTCTTATGCTTACCTTAAGCGAAATATGTTGCTACCAACCAACACCGTTAGCAACAACAAGAAAAGAAAAATTGCCCTTGCTACTGACAGCGAAATGAGCAAGCGTCGGACTAAAGTGGGCCATAGGTAATCATGATCGCCTCCATTTCCTCATTTAGCCCGACGTTGTAAATTGTACAATTTTAAGGAAAACTTATTTAATTTAACTACTGCATGCGTTCACAGTATAATTATTTTATTTGAAAAGGTTTCAGTGTATATTAATTCTGTAAAAAGTTGGATTTTGTTCCTTGATCGGACTCCTGTTTGATTAATTTAAAATTAATCGAGCAGTATTAAGTAAATCAAAAAGAATGAATATTCGTTCCAATTAGGGTATAAATGCCTACGCTAACTTGTCTAGATATAACTTTGATACTGCCGTTAATAAAATGTTTTAACTAAAAGTGCGCTATACTCTTTCAATGATTCTTTTATAAGTCAAATTAATAAATGGGTATCCAATAGTATTACTATTTAAGATATGAAAATTACAGTACTGTATTTCTGTTCATTGCACTTTTATTTTTCACATGCTGGTACAACAACTACTTATATAGTCCGATTAAACTGTTAGAACTCAGGCGAGTACTGATCTATTTAGAATTTTAGATAGATTGGCTAGAATTGCGCTGAAAAAATAAAACCAAAATTTACCTTACGGTATATGTCGACTAGTAAGCTGTTACAAGTCGAAGTGCTCACAAGTTAGCAGGTTACAGACCGACTATTTTCATCAAAGCAATAGCATTTGCTAATAGCTCACCCCATAAACTGCTGTATATGAGTACAAACGTATTGCTAAAACTGCTGAAAAATGATTATCCTAGCATCTTGCCTCGATTCAGAGTATCATGATTGTCGTTTATTGCAAAAGTGCAGCAGCTTAGCGAGTAAATTAGCGGTACATAATTCCGTTAGATTTTTGCGTAAGGTTAGCAGACTTTCTGCGCCTCTGCGTATACTACTTCTTTGCTGTCTATTATTAATGCCATCGACAGGGAATAGCGCTGAAAATAATCTGCACTAAAACGTCCAATTAAATATACAATTTCAACTGAAAACGACCATGAACATCGTATTTAACGAATAGCAACATGGTAAAAATAAATATACGTATGCGTATAATCAAAGAGGCGATAGTCATACCTACGTTATACGTATATCAGATTATTCAATATTAGCTCTACCCTTGCAGTACTTTCCATTTACAACGAATAGAATTTTTTGCCATTCTATCAGGTTGATACCGAAGAAAAAGAATCCGTTTCGGCAATATTTTCAACAAAAATGACTCCGCAGTTTGATGATTGCTTTTCATACATGACAAAACCCAGAGTCGAAATTCTACGTGTGTTGACTTGCTTATCCGCTTTATGTAAAGAAATTCGTAGCACAGCGGCTTGATTTACTAGCTAATTAAGGATAAGGATTAAAATTAGTCATTCTTCATTATACCACAACCCTCATCGATAGGGTTACATGCAGTATTTACTACTTACGCGTGTGTTTCATTAGTAAGAAAGAGTTAAAGATACTATAAAATAGCATATTTTATGACTATTCTAATATTAACAATCCGATAACTGGTCGTTTAACTCACCTGTGATACGCTGGTATTTAATCGATCAATTTCATTCCTTACTTCGTTTTGAGACAGTCTACGCTTTATTTTAGCCTCATCGTGATATTTCATTGTAGCCGATTCTCGATCGTCATTGATACTTTCATGCGCCTTTTGCTTATTTGCCTTGACCACCTTCCACACATAGTAGATCTAGTAAAAGTTATCGTCGTTAAAATTATAAAATCCATGTCTGACATACAAGTACTCGTATTTTAGAAGCTGGTCTTTACGTATACAGTAGGCAAAATTAAGCTAATATCGAATTGATATTGGTCCATTTCTTGTGATCGTCTACAAACAACTTATCCATTAAAATATACTTTATTTTTTCTCGATTTGCATCTAATCTCTGATTGGTAATCAACATTTGAGACTACGAAAAGGTAGATCAGATTGGTAAATCACGTTTGATGTTACTCTAATCTTCTGAATTGCAAAAATTAAGACGTGATTATTCCCAAGTGTGCATTTTAATTGATATGCTTACCCTAGGCAGGAAGGATAGGAACATTGTGACGAAGACGATTACCAAGATAAAGAGCGAAGTTAATCCGAAATTAGAAACAGGCCTATCTTGAGTAGTGACAGAAAGAACAGATCCAATAATACTGAATAGTGCTACATTATAGATAGAAAATCCAACGTATTTGGCTTCATTGCTGATAGGAAGAACGACAGCTCGAGCTTTCCATGATAGAACTATACCAATGATTAGTAAAATTCCGTTCGAGATAGACACTACTGCCAGACGGATATTAGAGTATTGGTAAACACAATAACGTGCAATATACGTTACTAAACTTTCTTCAGGTAGACCACCTGTTAATTTTGCTGATATCTGTAATAGAATAGCCAATCCATTTGATTGATTTCTACTTGATAGATACACTAATACGATCAAAACCTTTAAGAAACAAGTATTACAAGATGAACTTACATCAGCATTAATTTCAGTATAATTTCTTTCGGCAATCACGATTGGATCAGTAACAGAAAATAATATGACTACCAATAAGTTACCAACGCAAACCAAAAAGACCATAAGGTATAATTGCCAGTTCTTGGTACCCTAGAAATACAGTAGGTCAATTTTCGTGTTAGATCTGTTTTATAATAAATCCCAGTACCATTTCTCTAGTGTGATTTATGCATATACGTGCAAAAGGTAAGATTCAATTTTTAAGCGCAAAATTTAATGTTATTGATTGACTTGAATATGGATCAAACTACAACTATGTGACGAATAGATACTTCCAAAGTAAGTATAATATGATCTGATCATAATTCCGATGATTCTCAGATAATAGTCTTTAGCGTGCGCATTACTTATATTACTTACAACAAATCTTACAAATCTCTCGAACCAAGCAAAACCCACGACACTTACCCTTACTAGCTTGCCTTCAGCAGTAGTTTGAATTTTATAGATATCCCATATTTTAGCTAACAAAGCTCCATAACCGATAGAAAATCCCAAACATAGGATGATCGATTGAGACTATGAAAGATTCTCAAATTAGTAATCAGTAAATCACAATGTTAGGAAGAAATAAAGAAAAAGAAGATAATATATAGAATCATTGGAATGAACTAAAACTAATGAATGAATTATACGCTTATAATGATTGATACTATACGGATAATTAATCATTAAACGCTACCCAACATGATATCTTAGTTAATTCTGCATTATATCCAATGATGCCTTTATCGCTTGCTAGAAGAAATATACAGCTACAACAAATAATAGCAGCAATGGCGAGGATGGAATTTAACTTAGAATTGACGATACATCTGGTTCTACAATGATAAAAGTAATATTATAGCTTCGATTTTTGAGATGATTAAATGATTTAAAAGGACTTTACGGTTAAATTTACTGTAAAAATTAAATTGCATAATAATTAAGTGGCAGTAGACGGAAAATTCATAATTCGATTCTGTATGCAAGTTAGTTTGGCAACTTACAAAATTTTATTGAAGCGAATATTGAATATTAAAGTGCAACTGGCAATAGAAACGCTAACCAATACGCTAACAGCAATGGCGACGTAAAGTTCTAGCGGAATGGATACTGTCATGATTTTGCTTGTTGGTCGATCTTTGGGTACACTGTTACCTAGAATTGAAATAAATTGGCAAAGATGATACGGTCTGTTAGTAGCCAGAAATGGTAGTAATTCTCATAAACTATGAAGTGCTAAATCAACGCTATCATTTAATTTTATCCATAGATTGCTATAATGATACATTCCATTGCATATCGCTGCACTAACTTTTACCTGGAGTTCCCCATTGAATTGCTGTTGTTTTCCAGACGGGAGATTCTTCGAATGTTGCATAAATAGCAATTTCAACATTTTGCAAATCTAAAATTTGACATCATTGAATAAAATTTCAACTTTGATCAAAATGATGAAATATAGTCCATAATGATATTTAATTTACATTTAGTGTTATAGACAAAGAATAACTTTGCAATTTTAAAATAGAATATAAACTGATAGAAGAATATCTTCTGTTTTATAAGGACTACGCGTATTTCAATCTCGTTACCTGAGCCTTGAATGCGGCCTACTCTTACGGCGCCTATGCGATTGCCTCTAAAAGTAAACGATACTGACCCCTAATGATTCATAATTTTGCGTTAGTACTAGCATATAACATACAAGTATACCTATAGTAGTAGTGCTTTCCTAATCTTAACGATTATTTGAAATAGTACAATGCGAAATTATATCATATATTCGCCGAAAAGAAACGGCAACTAAAATATATTTTAACATACCGAAATACCCATAAATTTAAGTTCTTCCATTTGGCTTACAAACGTATCGATGAAATCACTGCTGTGATATACAAATTTTTCTAATTTAGTGCCATGATTTTTATGTAATGGCCGGATCGAATTATTGAGAGATAGCGCAATACACCAAACAGCATCATAGGCATATCCAGCATACTGTTCATTAGCTGTATAGTTAGGATAATGCTTTTGCTGATATTCTTTATAGACTTTTAGCCATTTTGACGGTGTCTATAGTTTTTATTGTTAAAAATCAGGAAAGAGTTAACTGATTAATTACGTATATATCTAACGAAAAGGTTGCACTTACAAATCCTGAAACAGTATTTTCATAAAGTTTTGTGGCAATTGGGTAATCTGAGACCGAAAAGTAACCTTTTACTGCATGGTCCATTTCTTTGCGGCCACAAAACTTATTAGAATGTCTCAGAGTTACATTTCCATGAATTCTCCACCAATACTTTGGTAACGAATCTGGGATGATCCAGATATAATTTGGGCCGGTCATATCCATATGATAGGCCTAAGAAAACCAGGATATACGTATTTTAATTAATGCAATCAGGCGGACGTATTTAGAGCAATACTATAAGCTTTAACTGTGATGTCTATTTGTATGAAATGTGAGACTAACCTGGCAAAATATTTTACGACCCATTTCAGGTAAGAATCCCGCTAAAATAACTCTATTTCCGGTTTTCTGTATATTTTAATAGCATAGAAAAGGTATCAACGAAAGAATCAATTTACACCCAACTTACAATTTTCCATCCAAGAGAAATAAATTTAATCTTAAGGCCAAGAGAAATATTATTGTCTAATGATTTTCATTGAACTTACGCGGATAGTGAGTAACGCAAGATATGGATCTTGATCGCTGTCAACTTCCTGTGAGCTAGCAACTGAAATTTGGTATCTCGTTTCCGCAGTTTTAATCAATGCTAAGCTCCCCTACAATCCATAGGAAGAAACAATATACGGTAAATCATGAAAACCGATTGAAGTTTAATTCATATTTTACTAATTGCTGTTAAGAATTAATCTATGCGATACGGTAGTGAGAATCTAGGGATTGCCCACATATTAATCTTTATTTGCATTTTAAGATATTTGCGATCGTCAAGAAGGATGTCAATATGAATGCAATCCTGTTAGAAGGCAAACATGAATTCATTATAATTATTTCAAATAAACACTGAATTATTTTAATGAAATAGAATAGCTTTAGTAAGCAAAAATCTGTTATTAGTTATGGCTGAATTTGAAGACGTAAAATGCTGGGCAGAATATAAAAATCTTTATTGCCATTGCTGATAATCTTCTAAGTATGACGTGCTAGAGCTAATTTCTAAAAGAGATTGCCATGAAATCTTTATGTTCGCGTCATGAATGAGCGTATTTGTAATTATTATATTGTACTGCCATATTATTGTATGTTTCTTTTTCAACTTTTATTTAGGAAAAACATATTCAAATTCTAATCACCGCTGTGAAAAACTCTTGCTTTTCATTAAGGATAGAGACTCTTTTCCATCCAAATTTTCGACAAATATCCAACATTATAACAGGAAAAGCATCTCCAGAAACGATTGTGCGAAAGAAATAAGGATAGACTGATTTGCTACTTAAGACTGGCGACGACGACGACGGTGAAACCTGAGCCAAGAATATATGTATAAATAGCACCCAAAATTATATAAAGAAGCGTTTAGAAATGCAAATTATATCTATTATATTTCAAAAAAAAGCTATGATATACGCTAGCTAAAATAGTGATTTATTACCTGCAATAGCTTAAACTCTTTAGTAAATCTAGTAACTTGTTCTGTAACATGCGAACAGGATGCCCCAAGGGCCATGATCTTAATCGGTGGGGTACTTAACTCATCGAATAAGTTCTTTAATCCGATACTTGGATCACACTATTAATTAAAATATCGATTTATCACCTTACCTAAAAATAATTTTAACATTTGCACGGCAGAAGGCCGGCGGAGCTAACGGCATTCATATAGAATAAAATAATGAAAAAATTGCATTGATTGACTAAAATGTTAAACCGTATACGAATATCAAATTTCATATCGCATAATTTTTATTCTTTACATTTTCATGGCTATAAGAAACGTACAAAAGATTGTCTACCTATCACCTTAATCTACATATTAATTATAGCTATGCATTTATGATGGAATCGTAATGTATTATTTTATTTTTGAATAACACGATTGGTTAGAAGTAAAAATTTACTTGAGTGTCTTTCCAACTCATATTAAGATAATAACCAGGAAGGATATCTGGATTTAGATTGATATGCTCCAATGCCAGCTTAGTAGCTACAAATGTTGCCGAGTATTCGTTCATAGCAAACATAGCTGTTATGGTTAACACTTTGGATGCGTTGAAGGGATGGCTGATAAAATTTCCCACGGAGTAAGACAAATTGGTTAAGACTAGAATTACTAACATTTGAATCATGACTTTTCTAACGTTAGTCATGATAAATTAATTGTATTGCTATAATAAGTAAGTAAAATAAAACACTGCTATTTGACTACTCTATGCGTAAATGCCTAGATGCGAGTGAAACTTTAAATTCGCCATTTTGCCTTAGAAGATTTTACGAAAACAGCAATATGCAATCGTTATGTTATCTCAGGCTTGCGTAAGCTAGATACAAAAGTTAAGTCACGATATTAATTAATCATATTAGGATTTAATTATATTATGTTAAGGTCAAGCGTAAAGAATTGGACATTACTTTTGTTATTATTCAAGTCATGTGCATAAATACGTAATAGCGCAATTACAGAATGACATCATGTAATATCGTTAATGATACTCCTCCTTTTTACCTGAATAAATTGCTGAAAATTTTTTGTTCCTAAACATAATATCGCCAACATGATTGTGATTCCATATATTTACTAAACGTTGGTATAGTTGTTTGCCAATTGACTTAGTTTGAACGAAATAAATTGTTATCATGGCTAATTCATACGCTTAAAGAACTTGTCGAGCATAACATAACTAATATTATTTTGCTTTAAATCGCCATGAATTGCTTTCGATAAATGTTTAAATTATTTTTAATTAACGAGATTGTAGCCTTTAAGAACTATATTATCAACTAATTTGACGAATGTACTTGAAATTAGCAGGATCATTGCTAACTGAAGAATAAGAGTCGTAAACTTATACTGATATGAGTTAACGCTCCAACACCGTTAATATCAGAATGACAGGTAGCAGCTTTGAAAAAGCCAAAGTCTTTTGTTATTACTTGGAGTATAACTAATAAGATTCTGGCTATGCGCAGTTTGCGATAACACTTTCAATTTTAAGTTTCGTAAACACATATCGCGGTGGGTAGTAAATTCGGATCAATTGATCCGCAAATTCTAAAATGGAATAGCCTGCGATGTACATTGCGTTGTATCTCTGAAGCTTGTCCGGATGATTTCTATCTGTAAATATATGCTCACTGCTGTTGAAAACTGTTTTTAAATGACAGTTTATCAAGTAAGGGTATAATTGAATACAGCTTAGGAACAAATTAATCGACTCATCAATACACGCGTACAAAACATGTTTATTATCATAAAAACTGATAAAGTTACAGGAAGATAACTAACTAGAGTCTACATCTGACTCATTTCGAATTTTACAGACATATGTGTACAGTATGTACAAAAATGATATAAAGATATCAAGCAAATGAAATTGTAACTGATACTCAGTATAATTTGTCGCTTTACGATGGTTGCACAAAAGTCTACTGTATATCATCTTTAGCAGCAACATATTGTCAAATACATTTAGTGTAAAGGATTGAAGAAGTAGTTGATTCTCTTAAGTATGAAAGATGACCAAGAAAGATTATTTTCCACCTCCACGGCCTCTGCCATAACCTCCGCGATTGAATTGACCTGAAAATAGACATTCGACATGAAAGAAAATCCAGTACAATTATATCCTTATATTCTAATAAATTGTGGCTTTTACTGCTGCAGTATGAGTCTTTAATTATCGTATACCTCTTCCACGACCACCACGACCTGAAATTATTAAAATTATACCAGATTATTTTATGTCTAATCACTTCATCGGTAGTAACTAGCTATTGTCGTTAACACTAAGGATATCATTTATGGTAACATTATACGTCAATTTGAAGAAATGAATAAAAAATAGGTTACGGCCAAGGTGGTATTCAACCTTATTTCCTTAGCAAATTTTAATCAGCTACGTATATCGCCTGATTGACTTATGAATATATAGGAAATGTTGACAAACCTCTTCCGCCGAATCCACCTCCACGTCCACGATTTCTATTTATGGCTTCCTCTTTGACCATATCGATAACCTGATCAGAAAGATAACAAACCGTCAAAGTTGCAGCGGTTATTTCTAAGTATTGCAATGCAGCGTAATTATAGGAAGGGATAATTTAACTTTACAGCTTACAACACTGTACCACATTGCATTGAATGTAAGATTAGTCGAAAGCAATGATAGCATCTAGCGTATTTATTATGAGAAAAGTCATGGTGCGAGTCTTTCACCACACTAATAATAAGTATTGAAAGTAGCGCTACAATTTTTTTGCCCATTTACAATACTACAAGTTCCTACTGTATTTTTATGACTTTCGAAGACTGTACCAATCTCTAGCTAAATGATGTTTAAGCTTTACGGTAACAATGTAGACCTCGTCAGGAATTCTTAAATACTTGATCATATTTCCTCTGAGATAGCATTCCGGCATTTTCCAGAACCGATCACCATCCTATACGAGTATTGGGATTAACAAGACAGAATAAAATTATGTTCACAAGCGACAGCGTAAACAATCACGATCAAAATTTCATATTTTTAAGATGTTTTAGTTCATTCAGGGTTGTGTAAATTAAACAGCATATCACCAATCTTTGCTGATCGGCTATCCAAGTAGACTTACTTTGGAGGTGCAAATAACTTCACGAAGGTTGATATTCATAAAATTGTCACAATTAACCAAATGTCCATTATAGGTTTCACCGTTCTTCAGTTCAACCAGCTGTACACAATACGATAGAAGTACACAAATAAGATTGGCTATAAAAATTACGCCAGGAGTGAAATTGTTTTTTTATAACAAGGTCTCATATGATTATTATTTTTCCTTTTCTAAACTCGTGATAGCTATCATAGATGTAAAAACAACGAGACTATTCTTGATACTCAATTTAATTTACTGTACTGCCACGAGTCAAACTGAATTTACTACGTTGTACACACTGTACCGTCGTCTATGTTTTGCTACAACTTGCCTACAAGACATTATTGATCATGTACTCGTATATCTTGACTCTCTTCCTCAGCAAGTACAAGTGTGGCCACTTTCTACCGCTAGAACGACTACGTTGACTATTTCTGTCTAAGGATACACTACTCTCTGTCATTAGCTTATCCTATTCCTTTGTATCATCTTACCATAGGATGACTTTGAGCCGTCTTAAGAAGGGATAGCGGTAACTATCATCCAATAAGTTCAAAGCAAAGTAGAATTAGAACAGTATATCATCCAACATGTGAAGGTTGGTTCCGCCATGTTGATGACTGGATGAATGGCATTATACGACAATCATACAACGTATTGAAGCCTATTGAATTGGCCAAACTATACACCTATCCAACTCTTGAACCGATATACAATAATTTCTTAGCCTATGCCTTTAACTTACCATTTTGTTACTTGAATTCTTGACTTGCAATTAGCTCGGAAGATTGTCAGCAAGATGGAGGAGCAAAGGTGCAATGAGCTAATGGCGAAGTGGCAACGAGTAATAACCTGGTCCGACTGGAGAGAAATCCCCTCATTCATTCCAGTGGAACTTATACTATACCGTTACGCCAACTTGATGGTTTGATACATTGACTATCGGCGATCACAAGCCTAGCCTACAGTACAGTCATACGCTACGAAATGGTACAGACTGTACACTGTACACTGTGGCATGCCGCCATAGACTATCCAATTCCATTGAGGGAGTATACAATACAGTACAGTACCCGATTCAGTACTAATAGCAAGTGCTTCTACTATCAGCCACTGACGATATTGTCGGTCTCTACTGCATCATTTTGGATCTTCTGTCGTCGCTCGAGTCGAATGGTCTAGTGCAGAAAAATGTGTCTTTCACTTCATAAGAAGTAAATTTGTGCTTTTGAAGCCCATGATCTATTAGTTAAATCCTTGTACGTCGATTGCATCATAAGTGCAGTCTCAATTCTATCCAGTATTAGCTTGTTTTTATCAGTACAACAGCGTTGTTGCTTGATATGGGTCGATAGCACTCGACTGATTATCGTTGTACTGATAGACTTCACTGCTACTGTACGAGTAGTCCATGACTGAATGCTACTGTACCCTAAGCAGTTTCGATTTTCTCCATTACAGCGTACTCTTCCCTGGAGATTTATTGCTTTTTGTAGGGTCTCTACTGGTCACTAAATGCAACACTTCTGCATCCATAAATTGCCTACAGCAGCAAGCGTTTACTCACTGTCGAGCAGTCTTTACTTGCAAATATGGACGACTAGGGGAGATACTGGATACATCTGGCCATTGCACACAGACGGACAGACTTTTCGTACTTAGAAGATGCTCCAAAATGACTGACTTAGTATGGATCTTCAGTGTTTCTTTTTCTGAATCACTTCTACTGATTGAAACACAATTAGGACCTTGTATAACTGCTTTCCAGTAGAACTTAGTCTAATAGCATACAGTTCAATGTTCTATTACTTAATTTAGCAAAATAAGTGAATAATAAAATCGACCATTCGCTTAGTAACAGAATGCCGAATGGAAGTGCTTGAAATAGTATGGGGTCAAATGTCCGACCGTCCGAGTGTTGTTTCCATTGTGTTACTTCTCTATAGAGTTGACTCTTGGCTAGTCATCCTTTTGCTATTCTGGAGCGTTGTTATGTTTTTAACTAGACTCTATGGTACTGTACGAGTAACAAAATTTTCAACGCATCTTGCCGGATAGGACGCAAGACGGACTAGACGATTTGATTGGATAGCCAAAATTGAAATTTTCGCTTTACGTCTGTCCACGCGTTACCAGGGAGAAGTAGCTGAAAACACTTTGGCAATCGCTATTTATATTTTCATCTACAAGTGTTTTCTCCATTTCCATACAAGATATCCTTGGCTAGATTGGATTCATTGGGTAGGATTAAGAAGAAGGGAGACTGTTTTGAACTGAGCTGATTGTAGACGTAAGTAGGTGAGACATCAATGGAGTGCAAGGATAGTGATTGATGAGGCTTATGCAGTCGATGTTGACCATAAGAATGATCGACCACCTCTTGCTTAATAAGTGCTTGTCAAATAGCAAAGTATCATCATCATCATCATCGATTCATCGTTCTTCCAATGGGATTGATTGATAGGAATAAACACAGATAGAGTTCATAGATATCATCTCTTAATGTTCATGATAATGTGTTAGTATACAAGTGTGTTAGAGTTGTTCGACAGTGCGATGCACAACAACGATCAACAGCTGCAAAACACGGTTACTACACTACGAGCAAAATTTTGCTAATTAATTTAAGCAGATTTTGAATGTTACCTCCTGCTTTATGGGCATGAGACGCCAACTGGACTACTTCCACCCTAGTGCAATAGCGAAGTAATCCATCTAATGTCACTAACGCCTAGGTTTCATCAACAGCGCTGCTATACTTGTACGTCTAGAGTAGATAGAAAATAACAGTGATGTTACCTTTAGGGTGGACAATAACAACCCTAAAGCACGTAGACATTCCTGCACAAAGAGATAGTCTGGAGCTCGCCAAGTGAGATAGAATATAAGTAGGTTTAGGTCGTACGTCTAAGTAGCACAGTGGTAACCTAATGCACAAATAATCGTCTATAATGAAAGCCTTATTACTGTACTATATGTGCCTAGCTCCAGCAACTATGATTAAATGCAGTTTATGTGTTGATAAATACTGTACAATAAAAGCTCTACCATAATGCTTTCCTTCTTGGTACGATCGTATCCAATAGGAACGCTATTAATACTTCTGATTATACTGTGTACAGTATATAGCCCTTTCTATAGGTAATATTTTACCAGTGATGATTCTTACCCTCTAATGTTAAAATTACTATTTCGTGACTTATTAGTATGATGATATCCATTCTATAATTGACATCTAATCACAATAGTTTCACAAGTGTATGTACGTGTAATCTTCTTCAAGTAGTGCAACAGTAAATTATGGTAGCTCATTATTAAGCGTACTTTATGTTACCGGATAATAATCCGAAATGTCCTACCTGACTCACACATATGTACACTAGTAATAAAGGAAGCACAAATCGTATAATCTGGTATAGCATGAAGTTTATTGTTGGTCCATGTAGTGCAAAAGTAGACATAGGTATGTTGTGTTTTTGTGTTATAAGTATGAATTGTTCATAACTTAAGAGACACTCAACATCGATACTCTTGTAACATAAATGCATAATGATTGTAGCTCATGTAATTGACACTCCCATTGCCATAAAATTATAAATAGAAGATAATATATTCCACGTTATAGCACCATTGATAGTGCTACAACGACATACTGTGTACTAAATTCGTTTAATTGACATTTTTCATATCTAAATTAACCTTTCAGAGCGTTGCATTGCAAGTAAACTGGCCAATCATTTTATCTCATTTTAAAGATTTTTTCGTTATGGGTTAAATACTCGCAAAACAAATAACAGGTACTTAATTTGTTAAATTTGCTCTATTATAATACATATCTACATAAAGTTAATGTTATCATTCTGGTTATAATTAGTTCACATTCTATAGGATGCTCGTAATTCAGTAGAATATAATGGTCAACATCTAAACTTAAAGTGTTTAGTACCGTGTGCGTTGTCGATATGCAAATTTTTAAAGTGTATTTAATATTAGATAAATGTAATTTCACCAATATAATAAGATAAGAAAAGTTTTCCTTGAGAATTGTTAGGGGTATTAATCTTCGCAGATGAGCTTCGAGTATACTCGTATTTAATTACTAATAAATAGAGTAAAAATAACGACTCTAATACTAGCTTTTTTTTAAACATAACTACTGTACAGTCCTAACTATTCCTCTACTGGTTTAATTTACTGGAGAGTTCTGGAAGAAATCAATATTCAAGCAAGACATCCGTCATGTCGAAACTATCCAAAGTAACGCAAATGAAATAGACAATTATGCTATTCAAATAGCTAAAACGGCGTATTGATCTGATCTATTTCTATTTGTGTGTTGGCAACAGAAAAAGAGCAATGAATGGATATCGCCAGCATTTGAAGATGATGGCAGTGTTATATTTGTTGGCAGTAAAAAATCTTCTTTACCAGCTATGCGTAAGAAAAAACCTGCCAATAAGTCAAGAAATGATAATTATGCCATTAGTAAAGGTCATTAAATACTAAAGAAACAATTCAATAGCGATAATTTTAGATTATAACTGTACTAATCTATATCGTGACAGGCAATGCTGTTAGTTCTGATAAGAGTACCCATAACCAAAGTACTATTCTGACATGGTGCCTAAAATATAAACCAAAATCCATGGTAAGAAAATAATACCAGTTCAGCTGTGTGCTAATGTGATTTCAATGATAACTGAATAATATTTTTTAAGTAATTAAATATTAAGAATTGCTAATTTAGACTGAACTGGCAATTCACAAGAAGAAAATTGAAGAAGTTGTTGAATGGCTACGAGAAAGTTTTCGTCAATTAGCAAATAACAAAGTGATTATTACAAAATCTTGTTTATTTCTCATAGCGATCAATCTAGAATCTCTACGATAATTCTTACGCTGAAGTAATAACAATATTATAACTTAATAGAAATTTCAGATTGATAAACTTAATACAGTTAGGTATTTCTTAATTTTTAATAGAAAGCCCCGGCACCAATATTGTTGTTAACGGGTCCATCAGGATCAGGTAAAACGGCAACTATTTACGCAGTGGCTAACGACATTAGTTATGAAGTGCAGGAATGGAGTAATCCTTTGAGTACGATTGCAGTTGAGAGGCGAAATATTTTTTCCACCTGTAGGTTTTCAATCTTTCTACGACGTATTTACTGTACTAAAATTGACGTAGTAAACATTACATTTTTTTATTGTATAATTTTAACCTTTAGATACTGATCATGATAATATCATTAGTGAAATTACCTCTTTTAAAGACTTCCTACTACGTGCTAATAAATATTCAAAGCTAAGCATTACAACATCGGGAAAGACACAGTCGAACAAAGACAATGTGATAATATTAGTAGAGGTTTGTCTTAAATGCCTCTATGCTGACGGCTATTTTTCCTAGTTTGACGCAAAATGCATTTTATATACTGTTGTAGGACTATCCAAATGTATTTTATACTGATCACAGACAACTTCATGATATTATTCGGTTAGTATGAGGTCCTCTGAGGATATAAATCTACGTGTTGCTCTAATATTATTTTATATGTTCTTTATACTGGTTTTAGAAAATATTGCAGGGTCGGCCGATGCCCTCTAGTATTTATTCATTCAGATTGTCAAAACCAAAGCTATAATATTCATACTCTATTTCCTAAAGATATTATTAAGGATTGCAATATACGTACCATCAAGTAAGTTAAAGCTACATACAATGATGTCCTAGTATTCTAGAACTAATTACGTCATTTTATTAGTTTTAATCCAGTTGCACCGACTAATATTTCGAAGTTGTTAAATAATATTGTTGAAAAGGAAAGTAAGGTAATTAGCATTCCTTTTGCTAGATGTAAATAAGAGATTCGCTTATTGATTGTTTGCCAATTCATTTATTAATCAGATGGGTATCGAAGTCTCAAAAACGGATATTCAAAATATTGCAGTTGCTAGCGTTGGTGACATTCGACAAGCAATTAATTGTTTACAGTTCTTATTTTATGAACGTAAGACCTTACGTTTTACATCCTAAGAATCGTTTTATTTTTCGCTATCATAATTTTGATTCATGATTAAACGACCAGGTAACGCGCATCTAAAAGAAATTAGTTACGTTAACATCGGTGGCAGCAAGAGAAAAAAATTGAAATCTCAAAATGCCTCGAAAAATGATGCATATACAAAACAGCTCACCGGTCGTGATCAAGGATTATATCTATTTCGAGCATTAGGAAAAATTTTACATTGCAAGCGTAAGTTGTAACGTTGATATCGTATATATATTTAATTGCTGTACCTGATCGATTTAACTCATTTGTTTATGAAAGTTGATTGATACTGTAGGTAGTATAAACAGTAGGATTTTAGTAACTTGAATTAATTGGTTATCTGTAATTTACTAATATGCATTAGGAGATCAAGAGCAAGATCTGAATCCAAATGAACGCTTACCAACTCATTTGTCAATGCATAATAGAAGGCGTGCATTGATACATCCCGAGGTGATTAATTTTTTCCACGATAGCTGATTATATTCGGAAATTGACAACTGTTACGAAGTTGGAATAAAATTTTTACATTTTTACCCTTTCTAGACTGTTATTGAACAGTCACGTACATCGTCAACGATGCTTAGATTTTATTTGCACGAGAATTATATACGATTTGTGAACGATATCGAATGTGCGGTAAGAGCAATAGAAATTGGATACATTATTTGGACCATTCGGTTATTCCCAGCAATCGAACTTATTCATACTCTGCCTAATATTGATATGCTTGCAGGTTAATAGTGCTAGTTATTTAAGTGATAGCGACCTGCTATCGAGAGAATGGACGGTAATTTTTTTCATTCTTATATAGTTTTTCTGTGTAGTATACAAATTTGGTCTTTAAAACTATTAAAAATACCATGTCAATTTAATGGATTGTTATTACTAAGTGACATGCAGCGATAATTACTCTGTTACAGTCTACTATATTTGAAGAATATTCATCATCAGTAACGGTCAGAGGATTAATGTTCTCCAATATAACGGATGCAAATGGAAGCAAACGTAAATCGACTTCTGGTTGGAAACCATTACATAAGCCCCGATGGTTTAGTGTTAACCGAAATGTACGTTCTAACTGGTTTGCTGTAAATTTTTTTAAATCAAGATTTACTATCTATAGTATTAATAAGTATTGACTAAAATATTTTCAGATAATGGAATACGAATCTGCCAGTCAATATCATTTCAGTGGTAAGGAAGACGGATCTAGGTCTAATTTAGATGGTTTAAATCTTTCCTAAAATTCTAAGAGTTTTAAACTATGGGCTAAGTTTGAGTAGTGTTTATCAAGATATTTTATTTTTAAAATTAGTGTGAGGGGTATGAAATATTTAACTAGAAAGAATAAAAAATCTGATATGTCCGTAATGCTATTTTTTTAAGAATGGAGGGAAAGTAAACAACTTTTTACGGAATTTATTCCATATGTTTCACTTACCAACAATAATTTCATCAAGAATGGTTAGTCTTTGCAACTATCTAGCTATTTGTAATTTCAAGATTGTATATTGTTATAGTATTTATAAATTATCTAGGTATTAAAAAAGGATGTTATCTGTAGTTATCAATACTGATTTCTTCATTTTACTTCAACGTAGCTGACTCTGGGCAGAAAATGACGATCGATAAATTATGCAATTTCAATTTATGGAAGCAAAGGTATGATATGCAAACATTTTTGTGATATTTGACATTAAATTATATGAATATTATTGTGTGATATTAAGGAGGACTAATCTTAAGCTGTGATAATTAAAGGAACGGATAAATATAACGTTTGCTGTACAACGTTAATAATTAATTGTATTTTGCACAGACTGTCATCAAACTTGCTCTCAGAGAAAGAGTTTGCTATGGTTCAGATGGTTGACGATAAAACCTCTAATCCTCCTACACCAAGTAAATTAATCTCAAGCCAGATGCAAACTCAAAGTAAGGAGATTGCTACTCGAAATGATGATCTAATAGCCTTGAATGCAATCGTTGAGGAAATTTTTGATGATGACAGTGAATCAAATTCTATTGAGCAATTTAGTGATAGCGACTAAAAACTTGATGTATCAAAGACAAAGCGTGTTTTAAGTGCGATCCCCACTATTTCACGCTTAAATTAACTGGACCGTTATGAAATGTTTTATATATATTAGTTTTTTATTGGAGATCTCTACTGTATTATTGAGCAATCTGTGATATATCGTATAATGTACGAAAGTGCTTGTTGTTATTTTGTAGATACAGGTAGCATTATTTGCTGCTCAGAGATAATACTGTACAGAATTTGTAAGAATATTAGTGCAATAAATTTCAAAATGCAAATATTTTCAAATTAAGCAGATAATTAATTATTTACTGTTTAACTGGAGACGGTAAATTTAAATATCCTGTGAGCAAGGAATGTCAAATACATTAACCTATAAATGAACTGTTATTTCACTAAGGATTAAATTATATTCGAAATGTCAAAGCTGTGTACGCAAGAATGTTTTAACGTTTTAATTTATAATACTGCAATCTCTATGAGACAGTATTTACAAATAGGAGTGGAGAGATCGTAAATAGGCAAAAGAAATATTACCGGTTTATTACCCAATCTTTAGATAAATTCATGAAAGACAATAACGTATTATTTATGTAGCCGTATTGTCCAATTATTTGTTAGATTATAGGAGTATTACTACCATGCATTTGATTCCTCTCGTTTAGCACTTTTAAGATATTCCAGCTGTCCTTTCTTAGTCTCTAGTTCAGTTTGAAGTTTTTGAATCTCTTTAAGGATCTAAAAAGAAATTCAGTATGATAAGTTAATATTCAGTAGCTACAGGATTTTTCTAGCTATTGCTATTCAAGATCTACTCAAGAATCTAGATGAAAACTTACTGTCGTCTTTCGATATTGCAAGTGCATTAATTTATCTTCATTATCTGAAAGATCAGTGTCTTTCTCGAATCCTCTTGCACTAGAAACGGCTAAGGCGACTTTTTTCCTATCGATATAATTTGATTTTGTACTGGGCATCGTAGTAAAAAGTTGATCGTCGTAGCCAATCCATAGCGTGTATAACTAAATAATGAATCATTGTAAAGCGAGTAGAAATTAAAATAATGAACATTTTGTTGCTTTAATACGATGTAAGTGCATAAACGCAAATAGGATACGATAAATAAGATTGAAAATATTATAGTTACATGAAGCATATTCTTAAATCGCTACGACGTAAATGATTTATATGCATGAATTATGGATAGCTGATAGCTAATTGTCATGGTGGAGGTAGTTTTTTGTTTGTCACTTTGTCAAATACTATGGTAAGACCGTGTCACAAAACAGCTTTGCAACAAGATAACGCAATATACGATCAATAAGTCAATTCCTTGAACCACGTATCAAGGAACGATATCTGCACTATCACAAACACTTTTGCTCTACTAGCAGACTACACAAAGACTTAAACGCCTCGTATTTTACGTTAAACACTAAGTTGGACAATTCTTCTTTATTTCACGATATACTGCATTTATATACTATTCCTCAATAGTTCATGAGTCATAGTTAATACAATTAACATTAGAATCATTTACTGAATTAGATATTAATTTTAGCTACTGCTCCCTTAATGCAGACAACAGTATTTACGAACATAGACATATAATGACTAATACAGAATAGTCAGATTACGATATGTCCTATCACGGAACATTTCCATGATAATTTACAGTCTACTATAAGTAAATTACAATCACAATGATTCGAACTGTAAGCAGATGATTTGCATTCCCTATTAGAACTATTAATTTCAGTATGTGTATAAGTGTCACTGTCATAAAAAGTCAGTGCTATATTAAAATACAGTATATCCAAATTAGAAGTTAACTAAATAAGGATAGTCTAATAGAATTATCCTAACATTGATATTTCTACTGTAATACAGTGTATAACACTGTAACA